ACAATGGCCACCTAATGCCAACACATGGTGTCATATTCAGAAAAGATGGTTTTGTTTGGGTTTATTTAGGTTGCAGAAGGGATTCGAAGAGATACGAAATTGGGGTTTGGATTTGGGTAGAGAAGAAAACAGAGAGGAAGAGGAAGAACTGGGTTTTGAGGGCAAAGTTGTGGGTTCTGTAGGTTGTTCTTGATCTTCTTCTTCGTGAGAAGATGGTAGTTAGCTAGATGGAGAGAGAGAGAGAGAGAGAGAGAGAGAGGAGAGAGAGAGAGAGAGGAGAGAGAGAGAGAGAGAGAGAGAGAGAGAGAACTAAATTTCAGAGAAAAGTGATATGTGTGCAATAAGTGGACAATAATATATATTTATAGGTGATAGTTGCAAAAAAATTGGGGAGAGGTGGTATTTCATAAAAAATTATAAAAAGGATGGCATTTAGATGTCCCTTTTTTTTTTTTTTTTTTTTTTTTTTTTTTTTTTTTTTTTTTTTTTTTTTATATGATTGGTGTTGGGTTTTAAGCAATAGTATTAAAATGGGCTATGGGTAATGATATGTCGGGTGAAAAAAGCTATACAGGCCTAAAAAATATAAAGAATCAGAAAGAAAGCCCATTTTACAAGCCTATATTTTCAATTTTTTTATATTTAAAATTTGTTTTAAGCTACATATATTTTTAATAACCGTATCCATGACATATTGTATCCTAGTTTTTAGAGATTTGCTATATCCCCATATCGTGTCGTATTATATCGCCGTATCCATATCCGTGTCTGTGGTTGGAAAATTTTGGTTTTGTATTTTGGTTATGGCTTGAATTTTTTTGGGTGAAGTTAGATTTTGTTTTGGCTAGAGAAGGAGATTATGAAAATGAAAGATTTGTCAATGGGGTAAGAGAGAGAGTGAAGTTTCATATAACAAAACGAAAGAGTGAGGGAGAGGAGAGGGTGAGGATGGGAGTGGAAGCAGTGGCAGAGCAAGGAATTGAGGTTAAAGGGGACCATCTTGCAAAATATAAAAATAAAGGGAATGAGAGCATAAACACTACAAGTTCTCGTAGAGCTTCTTGAAAATCACTGTCAAACCCCTGAACCAATATAGCCTAAAGTAAAAAAAATCAAGAAATAAGCTTTAAATTTCAGTTTTCACATCAAGTTATGATTGTTGTGTATATAAAACCCGTGTATCATTTTTCAATATTCAATTCAATTCATATACACAACATTAAATTATATACAAACAGAAAGAGAGAAAGGAAAGAAGAGTGAAATTGCGAGAGAGAGAGAGAGAGAGAGAGAGAGAGAGAGAGAGAGAGAGAGTTGGGTAGGGGCCTAGGACCCCTCTGGTCCCTACGTGGCTCTGCCACTGAGTGGAAGCTCAGCCGTGGGGCCTCTTTTCTTTTTCTTCTTTTATGACTCCCTTTTTAATTCTTATGTCAAAGGGGTAAACTTGGTTTTTCCTTGGAAGCACGAATATTCTTCTTAGATATTTGATGGGTTTAAATAGAAACACAAATTTTTTTTTTTGGTATATATGGCCCAACTCAAAAAAAAGAAAAAAAAAAGAAAAAAAAAAGGGGGGGTTGTGCCCCCTGGTTCATTGGGCCTCGGCCAAGGCCGGTCCTATGCCCAATTTTAGAAGTTTCTCAAGTTGAAATTGTAGGTTTCTTTTTATTTATTTATTTATAAATACAAGCAATAAATTAAATTACAAGGAATAGCGAGTTTCTCACACACGCTATCAAGATGTAGGTTCAACCTAATACCACTGGTCTACAAGTGAAGACCATTTTCTTCTGAGTTAGACTCTATTTTTTTTTTTTTTTTTTTTTTTTTTTTTTTTTTTTTTTTTTTTTATGATATTTTAGATGAGAAAAAAAAAAAATAGAGAAAAAAAAGAAAGCCGATACACATTATGACCTTGTTGATTCCATTACACGGTAATTACACGCCATCTCTAATGGAGAGGGCCAAATGTCAAATTTTGGCAATATAACCTGGATGGAGCCACTAATGCATGTATAGGGCCAGTCAAAATATCAATCCAGTCAATATCTTGGGTGGAATAGCAGTCGACGTTTTTCCTGGACTGAAATTTGGTGGAGCCCACTCGCACAACCACTACCTCATGTGCAAAGTCATTTTTGTAGACCCATTAGAGTTAAAAACTATTTTAAAACAATTTAATAAGGCTACGGACTCAAAATGTGAGTCTAGATAGTTGGAGGAAAAACTGTTTGAATATGGGCAATACATGAATAGTTATATTTTGAAGAGTGGAAATTTGGGTTTAGCCCCTTTAACATTGGAGATGGCCTAAGACCATCTCCAACCCTTGGGGTGGAAACTCAAATTTTGAGTTTAGCCTTCAAAAACCATATCCAACCCATGTATTTTGGGGGGTGAAAATTTGAGATGCCTCAAAATTGGACTGGAATTCCACCAAGAATTTTGCCTGGACTGATAAATCTGTGGGGCCCAATTCTGCTTTAATAAATATTTTTTTATTGCATGATGTGAGAAGCCCATCACGTGGGCTGTGTTGCTGGCAAGTGGGAATGAAGATTCCCTCTAGTTTATTGAAAAGCAACGGCTATTTTTGGTATGTTTTGTCATGCTTTTTTTTTAAAAAAAAATATTCCAACATATTGGATAATCAACGATTCAGATTCATTTTAGGCGATCTCAACAGTAAAATTTCACATTCACCGGCTCAAATTTAAATTCAATGGTCATATTAATATTTATAATTAATCTAAGTTAGATCTAACCCCAAAATTTATTCCAAACTCTATAAATAACCATTCATTTGATAAATAATCCACCAAAATCATTTTTTTTCCTTTATCCCTTTGTTATAATTTTTCATTCTACATTCCGGGCATACGTATGGTGTTGTACTTGTTTTATTTTTAAGTGAAATTCTATTATATTTTGAAATTTTAATTTTTTTAGGTTAAAATGTTTAGAAAATTAAATCACGAATATTGAAACAAAAATAATGTCAAGAAAAATTAACAAGAAAAAAAAATTAGGGGTTAATCATTCTTAAACAATTTAATAAAGTTGCGGACTCAAATTATGAGTCTTCAAGGTTGGAGGAAAAAAAAATTTTGAGTCATGAAAATACATGAATAGTTGTATTTTGGAGGGTGGAAATTTGAGTTTAGCCCCAACATGGTTGGAGATGGTCTAACGGTTCTCAAACAAGTTCAAATATTTTCAACTTTGTTGTTGTTGAACAAATAGAAAATAGGCTAGAAAATATATGTAGGCATCATAATAACATGGTTTTACATTCGGTTTTGTTTCTTCTCATTTTTCTTAACAAAGGTTTTGTTTCTTATTTCACTTTCGTCGATATGGAGTGATTAAAAGAAGAAACAGTTGGAATCAGGCAAAAAGGCCAAAAGAAAAAGGGAAATAAGCTGGTATAATCACAAATCAGAAACAGTGTGCTGAAATAATCAGGCTACAAATTGTATTCTAATATAATCACTTGGGGACGTGAAATGACCGAAGTGCCCTCCATATAAAAACATATCTATTGGGGAGTTATTGGCCATGGATTGGCGACCTAACACTTCTGTCTTCTCAGCTCGTCTCTTCCTCTCTGGCGGCGCTTTCTCTCTCCAGCGGCCACCACCACTCTATGTCTCCCTCTGTCCCCAAAACCTAAGCAGCACTCTCTCGTTCTCTCTCTGCCGTCAATGTTAGGGTTTGGGGAGGCGGTTATTGACGTTTAGGGTCTCTTCGATAAATGGTATCTCCCTTAAACGATTTCTCAGTTCCCTCTCTTTTCATGTCTTGAATCGAAGTCTTTCTCTTCTCCTCTGCTCCTTGAGGGCCTCAAAAACCCTAAATTGCGATTTTCTGTAGGTGTTGCTCGGATTTCCAATTCGGTTCTGTGCACAAAACGAGTGATTCTAAGGTTGGTTATGTATTTGTTATTGACTAGTTTGTGCATTTGTATGGTTTTCATTTGAGATGGATAATTTCAGTAACCTGTGACTGATGTTGTGAAGTTTAGTAATTACAGAGATTGCAATAATAATGTATTTTAACTGTGAATTATTTCATGCTTGGATGAAACTTGTATTGGTGTATTGATTTTGCTCTGTGGACGATGAAGTGCCTTAAGTTGGTATTTGTCATCTGGGATTGGTTCGTTTGTGATGCGTGTTTTCACTTCCATTTGATGATGCATAATTAGTGTGGGAATTTATTCTGGTGGCAATGGCTATTCCATTATAACACAGGTTTACCTCACTAGGCCCTAAATTAGATGTTGAGTAATAATGCATAAGTAAATTTGTTGGTATCATTGCTGTTTCAGCACCTAGTAGCATAGTTTTGCACCCTTCCAGTCTTAATGGTTAATTATGTGAATTTGAAATACTAATGTAAGTTGGCGTGGGATGTTTCTTTTCCCTGTGCTATAAAACCTGCTAAATTTTGTTGTTAGTCCTTGCTTGCAGCTTGTCATATATGTCTGAAAATGGAATTTTCTTGGGTTTTAGTATCTGTTTAGAAATTTCATGTTCATCCACCTATGTTTAGCAGTTGCAGCTGCAGTAACATTTTGACGTGTCTAGTTTGTACACAGAGTCCATAACTGCCAATACTGATGTTCCATGAGTAGACATGTATATGACTATGGTAATGAGTAGATTTTAGTACGCATTGATGCATTTGGAGTAATTGTTGTAGCCATTTCGCCAAAACCCTGTATGAAGTGGATCCGTGGTTCATGAACTTGTTTCACACTTGGGTGGTATTTGGTTTTTGGATGGAATCGAATATAGATTTTGTAGAAGGGAATGTAGATAACAGCAGAGTGTGGAGAGAGTTGGAGAGTAGAAAAGAGGCTTCAAAACAATTCTGGTTTTGTCATATGTATATACATATATTAAATGACTTGAAAGTATTAGTTTGAGTAATGTTCGTATGAAATATGGGTAACCAATGATCCATATGTATGATGTTGTTGTGCAGGGAACTCTAGAATGGCTTGTAAAGCAAAGCTTATGATTCCTGAGGATGAGAAGTACGAAGGAAAGCCATTTGCCCTTTCACACGCAAGGACCGCCATTACAACAATAAAGGCGAAGTTCAATACGCAGCAGTTACAGAGGTTCGAGGGGAGTTGTTTTGGTCATCTATTACTGATAGAGGACCTGAAGTGGAATTCACAAGTTGTCCACGGGCTGTTGATGAGGAAGGCTGATCCTAAGACAGTTACACAGGTGAACGGGATAAAATTCATTGTGGGTAACAAGTTGACACAATTCACAGCCCAACACTTTTGCCTCATCACGGGCCTAAGGTTCGGAAAGCTCCCTTTCATTCCGAAGGCGACAAATGAAAACTGCTCCTTGAAGCGAAAATACTTCAGTAGCAATAAACCTCCCACCCTTTTGGACCTACACACTGCCTTCATCGAGTGCACAGATGATGACGATGCGTTAAAGCTTGGAATGGTCTATTTTGCCATTTTTGTGCTATTGGGTACTGAAAAGCATGTGCTTTTTGACATGCGCTATTTGAAGTTGGCCGAAGACTTAGAAGAGTTGGACAAGTATCCATGGGGTGCCGTGTCATATGCGATGACAAATGCTTCACTTTTGAGGGCAGTTTCTCCTGATTACCAACGAGTGAAGGTGCCCCAAAACAGAAAAAAGCCCAACAAACGTGGGAAGAAGAGAGCGCAGACAAGAATGGAATGCAGTAGAGCCAGAGAGTACATCATAAGGGGGTTTGGCTTCGCTCTTCAGGTGAACACATATCCAACAATGTTTTAGTTCATTTAAATACATGTACAGATTTTGATGTTTGATTGTTGTCAACAGATTTGGGCTTTTGAAGTCTTCCCAGCATTGGAAGCATTGCATTTCACGGTCCATGAAGACAATAGGCACATCCCTCGAATATTACATTGGAGGAGCAACACGGTGGCCCGTTTTCGGGAGGTTATGAGTCAGGTTTATGAAAACTTTGAGGTTAGTTCAGTTTGTATTACTCAGGTTATGATTAGGAACAAGTAAAAAGTTCACTGATTTATTAGATGTGTTTCAAATGGAGGTTGATGTGCAACTTCTCCGGCCGACTGATATTGAGAAGCAACAACCTTACTGGAGTTGGGGCGATGATGAGAACAATGAAGAAATTGTTCAATTGTTTGGGGATGAGGGCGAAGACAAAACCAGCACTTCTAGTGAAGAAAAAGAGGCGGATGTTGAGGAAACAACTACCCTTCCCTCCTCTTCTAAGGTGAGCATGACCTTTTTCCAATGTTGTGAACATGTAGAGAATACGATACGAAAGAAGTGGAAATAGTTTTCTTAGCTTTTGTAAGATTTCTAACTGTTGCATTATAACTTTATGCAGGGCAAAGGGTCTTTTAATGACTTTGGCAGGTTGAAGCATCAATTAGAAAGCACTAAGGATGAGTTAGCAAAGCTACGTAGTTCAAATCGGGGCCTTAGGAACAGAGTTCGTGACTTGGAAGCTATTGTAGACAAGAACTGTTTGAAGCATGAGAAGGAGTGTGACAGAAATAAAAAGGCTATTGGGGATTTGACCCTAACAATTGCTTCAGTGGAACATTATTTTAAATTGGAGATGGAGGAGTTAAAAAAATTATATGGTGGACAAGGGCATGAGGAAGTGTGGACTGCTCAGATGAATGAAGGAGGGCAGAATGAAATGTCACCCTTGAATGAACTTACTACTCCGACTACAGCAGGGCCTAAAATGGACGCACAAGTTGCAGGTGATGGAGTGGAAGCCTTCCCAGGCATGCATACAGAACGGGCTGAAATGGAAGCAACAGTCTATGGTGGAGTGGAAGGGGCTGAAAGGGAAGCGGAAGTCCCTGCTGATGGAGTGGAAGCTTTTCTAGCCATGCATATACAAGGGGCTAAAAGGGAAGCCGAAGTCCCTGCTGATATTGTGGAAGGCTTCCCAGCCATGGAAGTCGAAGCCGCTGAAATTGACACTTCAGTTTGTAACAAACAAGTGCACCAACAACCTCACAAGGTTCCTACTTCGGAAGATGTGAAGGTTCCTAGTCTTGAAGATCCCCTCATTCCTAGTCCGGAAGATAGGGAAGGGTACAGAGTTATTTGTAAAACAATGTTAAATTTGTTAGAGGATTGGAATAAGAAAGAAATTCAGGGGGTGGGACGGAAGGCGAGGCCTCCCATGGAAACTAGTATAAATCTGGTTGGTGATGAAGGGGACAAGGAGGCTAATGCCACGGTTCAGAAACCAGATGCGGAAGGCAAAGGATGCAGACTGAAGCGGCCCGCGAAAACATTGTTGAGTCCATTCACTGATCCCTCCAGGAAAAAGAGGCCGACTACTGGTTTTCATGCACAGACACCTGAGGCCCGTTTTGATCCAACACAACCCGTGGCCATGGACGATGTGAAGGCTATGATACAAGTTTGCAAGGCTTGGAAAAGTGACATCAGGTTAGGAATTGTAACTTGGCAAAACCAATATACATGTTTTTTGATGTATGCAGTCATGTACAATAACAATATCTACGTAGCTAATTGTTCGTGTGTGTGTCATTGTCATATTATGCAAGGTGTCCATTAGTTTTTTTTTATGGTTGAATTTACCTTTGCAAGTTTATTTTTTTGTAGTGCGGAGCTGGAGCTCGAACCATTTGTAGTTGGGGCAGATTTTTTTTACAAACTTGTAGATGAAACTGCATGGATGAGCTCGAGGGTAATACTTTTGAACCGTGCTTTATTTCGAAAAATTTATTAATTGATCACTTTGAGTATGTGGCCATTTTTTTTTTAATATTGAGGTCGTTGTTGTGTTGTGAAATGTCAGCACCTTGACATGGCCATGTTTCTAATACGCAAAAGACAACTCTCTCATCCTCAAGTATTTGGAACGGAGTGGACAACTGCCGAGTTTTGTCTGCAGGTATTATTGTATTCATATTATGTCTCATTCAATTTGTTGCATTGGTAGGAGTAATGTTGTTGGCTGTGTTTGGTGCATTGGATCCTGTTCATGTAACGTGTCTTTCACACTTGTTTGCAGCAATTTTTACAGCCATTTACACCGCCAAGTGCGAAACGAGTTACGAGGAAACAAATTGCTTCAATGACTGTTGACCCTCCCCCTAACTACCTCAGAAATATACACCACTTTGTCTGGGGTTCATGGCAACATGGTTATGCACAAGCATGGACGAAAGTCCGCAAGGTCTATCTCCCGTATAATGTTCGACAGTCCCATTGGGTGGCTGTAGAAATTGACTTTGTCAGACATACTGCCACTGTCTACGACTCGTATACTGTTTTTACCTCCAACACAATGCTTGTCCGACAGATGGAGCCTATTACCCAGACGCTTGCAAAGGTGTTGTATGACATGAGGTTTTATGAGAAATCAGAGGTTGAAGCGGTGAAGAAAAAGGGGATTGACATGCCAACGTTTAACCCATTCACAATTTGCAGAATTTCCAATGTTCCTCAGCAAAGTGATGGGTAAGCTGTGTTCATTTAAAGCACTTTGTGCATGTTGTCAGTATGTGCACTTCTAACTTCTGTACTTCTCGGGTGGACAGTACCTCATGTGGCATTATGACCGTCAAATTTATTGAGTATCTCAGTGCTGGCATTCCTTTTAATACCATTGACCCAACCAAGTTTGGCTACTACCGATTGAAGCTTGCAATCGAGGCTCTCAGGGGAGAGGCCTATGTATGAGGTAAAAGTCCATATCTGACCTCATATGAATTCACTGTTAAGGACTGCCTTCAGAATTGCCTAGTTATTTACCTACTTTGAATTATGTCGTACGTACAGAGTTGTGCTTTCAGTCTTCATTTCAGACAACTTACAGTATGTTGGCATCTTTTCCAAGTTTTATGAATGCGAATGGCGACTATTGTTAATCAAAGTTTAGGGTATTGGGGATTTCAACACCGTAGATGGTAATGTACATGTTTTGCAACTGGCATATGATTTAAGTATGGCATATGTTCTGAACTCTGATGTGTATCATCCAAAACTTGTATCATGTTGTTTATGACATCTCAATAGAATTATTTCTTAAAATTGCTCCAATTATTAAGACGTTCAAGTTTCCCTTTCTATGAATGCTAACTCTCGGCACATTTGGCCTTCTTATGCAGGTGGTCCTTTCAGGTTCATACCCATATTGACATCACAGATTCTGTACATGTATGTCACAGAAGTTGCAGGCTGTTTCGTCGTTTTGTCATCCTGAAAATGAATGCGATGTTTTGCCTTACATGGCACCATTTTTGACTTTGTGTACAGATGGCAATAAAGGGTGCTGATTTTGTACTATGTTGCAGGGTGTTAATTTGTGTAACGTAATTCGCCAGTACTTGTATTCCATAGTAGAAGGGCTGTACTCACGTTTCCTTTCTGACAATGCGGTTATTGACCTTATGTACTTGACATGTTTTGTACAGGCATATAACAAAATATCCTTCATTTGGCCGAAGTTGCAGCCATATCAATTTTTTTTGCCCCACCCACATTGTAGCCGTTTTGTTTTGTGTGGTTCGGTGTAATACTTACTTTCGTATATTAATTATTTTCATCCAATCTGGACAGAAATGTTTGGGGTTGTTAGCCGAAACAATATCCCTAACCCTCTGCTGGGCCATTTACAAAGCATTATACGATTTGATCAGGGAATTTGTTAGCAAATTGGATGACTCTGTCAATTTGATGAATTTGGGAGTGGCTTATGTTAAAACCAAGAAATCTGACATTGGTTTCAAACAACTTCATTTTCTTGGCAGAGACAACTACACCATTTTGGCTAACTTTCGAAAGCAACTTATGCATATGTTTCCATTCATGTTCTATGGACTCAGAGAAGATAACAACAGCATCAATGTAGACTATAGAGAAATGACTATGCCAAAAAGCATTAGAAAGGCCATGTTTCAAATATCAAACTTCATTTGTTCTTCAAATGTTCGAATTTATTTTATTTTAAACTTAACTTATTCTTGAAGAGATTTCAACTATCGAGCTTTGTTTTGAATTATACTAACTGTTTTTGCAACAATATTATTTCCAAGGATTCTGCAGTTAGGTAACTCAAGCTTAGTTTAAAAAATCAAATTTGAGTCTTTCTCCTACATAAATAGAACTAACACCATCATGTTCAACCTAGAGCGGATATACTAAACCTATAAAGGGTAATCCTAATATTACTTCATCGGTGATGTTTTTTACTAAAACAAAGGCAGTATTAAAACAGATTTTATTTTCAATTTTAGCTTTTGGAATCTCCTAATTCAACTGTAAGGCTTTTCCCGACGCAGTCCTTAAAGACTGTGGATTTCTTATAATACTTTGTCGGGAAAAGGCCTTCTTCAATACAGTTAAGGTCGCCTCCTGAATCAAAAAGTCCGACTCTATGACACGTATAAATGTGGACAACTCTTTTCACTGTACAATACCACTTTCTAAACTTCACTTGTTTTACTAATTTGAAGGGCTTGCTCTCATTAATTACATGGCTCATCTTCAAAATTGGTTGGACTTTCATATTGACTATTAGACGCAGAATCATCCTTTGCTAGACGAGTTATGAAATTCTGTTTTATTTCATAATTCTTAGTTTCAACTTTATGACTCATTTGCTTTAACTCAATGATTTCCCTGTTGACTAATTTTATCTCAGATTGTAGGTGTTGAAGGGTGACTTCTTTTCTCTTCCTAACCTTTTCTACTGTTGTATTTAGACTTATTTCATTAGGGATAGTTGATGGACTAGGACTTTCTTGGCTAATGAGTTTTCTTGGTTTCTTTAGGTACTCCGATTTGAGCTCAGGATTTGATACGTTCCTTATTAATTCTATGAATAACTCTTATTGCTCTTCTTGCTTAGTAAGGACTCTAAGTGATTTTGAATTACAACATTTATCGTGCCAACAAAATTTGACTCCAGCTGAACTAGACTGGGAATCAGAGGACTGGTAGGGTTCTGACTCAGAATTGTTTACTACTGTTTCTATCTAACTTGTTTCAGAGTCTCACATCTCTAAACCCATAATTAAATTGTCTTTTTCCTCATTCGTGATTTTCAACTGTTGCATAGTTTCTTTGGCTTATGCACTCTGAGCCATAATGTCCGAACTTTTTACATTTTTAACATTTAACTTTGCTATTGTCTTCACTTGTCATAAAGCGACTATGTTTCGGTGGTGTGGACCTATTTTTCTTACGGTAAACTTTGTTTTTCCTATACAACTCATGATTATCTTTATTCCGTTCAAAGGCTTGTTTTCTTCGTGAGTAATGACGACGTTTCCTAATGTCACTCGGGTAATTGGACTTATTTTCCTAGACAGAGGTACTGACGTAAGACCATATTGTTGACAGAAGAGTCCTAACGCATATTTAGCACTTTCTCAGATTGTATTTGTCGACCAATTTTCATAGGTACCCACATTTTCATACCAACTTCGTTAATTGTACTAATTGTATTTCCATAGGTTAAATTATTCCAATCAATTTGACCTTGCTCATTGCTGAACTCAGTTCTTCTTTTATGGCCGAATAAGTTTGGAAGAGCGGTGATGAAGTTTTCTTTCCAAAACGGTTGATTACTAGCTTCACGAATCATGACTCTACAACTTAAAATATGTGTATACCATCTAAAATAAGACAGATTAGAACATCTCAGATTACTCAGTTGATCAAGTATTCTAGCATTAGTATGAGTATGGGTTCCAATAAAATGCTGACTTATAGTATATAACAAAGTCTTAACACCATATTCATCAAACCTCTTCCATTACATCCATAACCTAACCACCTTTAACCTGCCAAATGTAGATGAACAAACCTCCTATTACATTTGGAACACAACAAATAAATGACCATTCCAAACATGAAAACAGAGACCCAAAACCAGGGGTTTTTCATCTTCCCTTTTCCAGCGTTTCTTTCTTCTTCCAAGCGGTTTATTTTCCTAAGTAAGCCTGGAATTATGTGCTTCGATCTGTCACACATCTCTGGGTCAGCCCATTCCCAAAATGTACATCCATTCCTCTGCATAAACGGAAACAATATTTCCGTTACAAAGAGGCGCAGCATCACAAATGGAATCCACGAAAATGCCAAATTTCGGGTCAAACTTACAGAGAAATAAACTTACCCTTGCACATACTTGAAACCTCCTTCCCGGATGAGAAACCGTCCAGGATGTATGCGTTTTGACAACGTTCCCACAGTAGCACAGCCGTGAACATACCGAACTCGCGTCTTCCATTTCCCACCGAGACCTTGAAGGCCACTCTTGAGAGTGGCATGGAGACCTCACTGACTCAGCCGCACCGCTACGGAGGCTCCTCCTACTCATCTCCTTGTTTTCTCTGTATAAATTGTTGTTCAACTTGTGCGCTATTTGGAGAGGTCAAGAGGCTCATCTTGTAGTCAATGGGTTTCACTTGCCTGTGCGAAATTTGGATAATAAAACCGTGTGAGCGCACCAACATGAAACTTGGAGTTTATGGGGTGGTTTTGATACAACATATCAAACTTTACCATAGGCAACACTGAGGGCAGGGGCGGCCCTGGGGTGGTGCAAGTGGCGCCACCGCAAAGGGCCCCGGAAAAAAATTTTCTTTAATTTATATATTAATATTATAGGAAGTGTATATATACTATAGCGTGCTAAATATTTGCACAGAAGTGTTCGTGGTGGAGTTGGCTTCCCAGCGAAACTCCACTTAACAGGGGCGCACGAGTTCGAATTTAATTAATGCCAATCTATTCGCCCTTTTTTTATATTATTTTTTATTATAACAAGTTAACAACAAATTTTACATAATTATAAAATTTCAACAAAAAAAAAACGAAAACAAAAGCACACCTTTAAAATATATATATATATATATATATATTCTCCTCCAAGAAAAGTACTTTCTCTATTCAAAACAAAAAAAAATTTCATGGCTTCTTCTTTCTCTCAAACTCTGATTTTCTAATAAGTAATCATCATCATTCATCAATGTCTCTTTGGTTCTGTTTTCAATCCTTTGACAATTTTTGTAATTCTTTCAATTTCAAGAATTTGAACCCCAAAAGAGAAAATCATAATTCCTAAATTCATAAAGACCACTCAAAATCAAATAGTCAGATTCAAAGCTCATTTCAAATTCATGTATATATTTAAATTTCAATCTATATATTACATGACTTATTTTATTAAATTATTATCATGATGATGATTGGTTATATGAGAATATGGTTTTTAGAAATATTTATCTATTTCTTGCTGGGGTTTTCTTCCAGGTTACAAGGTTTTGGAATTTTTCTTTGTAATCTAAACATGCCACCTACTAGAAAATACATTTTTGGATATACAAAAAGACATAAAAAAAATTATAATAATCGAGGAATTGATTCAATCTCAAAGAGGAGCTTTTGAATCTTGATAGATTCATTGTTAAAGAATCACATGCTACATAGATTGCCAATTTGTTTTTACTATTAAGCACAGATTGCTTAGAGGAGGTAGAAAGGGATCTTATAGGGGCACAAGGAGCTTATTTTTGTATCAAACATACCAATATTTAACTTTATCAAATGGAAACATTTAAATTTTTATGAATTTGATTTTTGATTGTCATTACATGTTTATTGATGGTGACTTTTAGTTATAAAAAAATTGTTTATGACATTAAGTTATGGCAAATTGTATTTATAGTATTTTCGTATTAAATTATGTGAGGCCCCAATTTAAGTTTCACACAGGGCCCTCACAAACTCAGGGACGGCCCTGACTGAGGGCCTAATCCAATTGGAATGTTATTCGGACCCTTATTTTGGAATCCACATACGGCATGGTATACACTTGGAAATACAGTACATGTTAATTCTTCGTTGCGTGTATATTGGTTTTTTACTGACGTATTGGTGTTATTGTGCAACTTATTGGTTTGCTATTGCCTCTTTATTGAGCTTGTAATGCTCTTTATTGGTTTTCTAATGCATGATATTGCACGTATATTGGCATTGCAATGTAACCTGTGCATTATTTTCGGTTGGTACTGCTATTCAAAAATGTTTGTTTTATACTGTCTTCAGTATTGGTTTTGCAATGTCATTTGACAAGTGTACAAAGTTGAACTATGTGGAAGGTAATTACGTTATAATTTGGATCTGAAATGAATGCATCCACATTACATCAACTGCTGTTTTAAAACTTCCAGCATACTTAATATAAAGAAGGCAACAGGAACAATCACAATACGAAGGCCTCCTCAAACTGGCAGAATACAAAATAAAATAACATCCCAGCGTGAACTTACATAAAACAACATATTAAACAAACAAAACAACACAAAAGATGACCACAAACTTACTAAATACAATGTTAACAAAGATGGCACCTGAAGATTACATTATACATATGAAAAAAAGAGGCCCCCTCAAACTTACCTAATACAAAATAAATACATAAACAGGGCACCTCATCCGCACATAATTAAAAAAGAGGCCAAGTCATACTTCCATTCCACTGTACAAAGTTTGTCCTAAACCGTTGACATGGTCATATTACAAGTCATACCTTCCGTCTGTGGATACATTTCGAGTTGCATACCCTTCACATGCGGCGACCGCGACCCATTAAATTCATGACCCCTCCCACAGTGATGTCCCACTTTCCTTCTGCATCCACAATTTTTGCAAACTTCCTAAATAGTTCGAAACCAGATTGCAGTTGTTTTTGCTTCAGCTCAGCCATTTCGTCAGATTCCTTGAATACAAGAACTGCAGTGGCAGGGGCATTTTCAATTTTAGCTCTGACAGCCTTTATATGTAGGAGATGCATCCGGGCTTCATAACGCGCCCGAATTGTGCAGTTTTTTATGATACCCCACCTAGCTTGGCCCTCTTTAATTTTTAACACTATGTCTGCATGGAGATTTTTCCAGAACATGGTATTGGCTCGACATTGCTGCAGTCCTTGGACCCAGTCTTCAGTGTCTTCTGTTGCTGATTTGGCAGGTGTGTCATTGTCCCCTCCTTCATTAATGGCAAGGGTTGGGTTTGGTGTGGGGTTTCGGTCCATGGGTGTTGGGTATTTACTGCGGGTTGGTGTGGGCATTAGTTTGCCCAAACTGGAAGTAATTGTGATATGGTTGAAATTGTTGCGCAAGCAGGGGGGTTTTGACGGAGTAAATGTGATGGAAATGTTGGGTGGATGCAGCTGGGTTACAATTAAATAGTGGGAGGTAATAATGAGCAGGAGAAAATGACAGTCAGCAACTGGCGGGAGTTATTGGCGGGAGTTGTTGGCTCCAATTTTTGGCGGGAGTGGTTGGCTCCAATTGTTGGCCAACACGTTACACTTGGGGTTTGTGTAATTAGGTTATTGGTTGGTGTTTGTTGTATGGGACCGTTGTTGTATTTGCAAATTATTCATGTTGTCCTATTTGACCAATTTCCCTCCTGTATGAGGTTCAAATGTCCCAAAAGTACAAAATGTCCCAAATTTATAAGTATCAAAATTCACAAAGTACAAATGCAGATGTTTACAAAAACGGACCATGAAAGTATATGTGTTTCGAATTTATTTGTTGCTATCTTCCAAATAACGGATGTAGATGAGTTCCATTTTTAAATATATCGGTAAAATCCGAATTGTGAATTTTGATACTTGCAAATAAGTTCATATGTATTCCGCCCACTTGACGTTAACTTCCCCTTGAAATGTGGGTCGGGACTGTATATGACTGTTTTCATGTTATTTAATTTTCTCATATGGTCAACATATAGTATCGTCATTTGTAGGGAATACTGAATAATTTATAAACATTTATGTATATTTCGTTATTTGGATAATTAGGGAACTTGGTCGTCATTTGTAGTATTACTATGTGAAGACCTTGAATATTCAGATAGTATACAGTTTTTTAGTAAGGTTGTGTTTATTGTGTATTCACAGTTGTTTAGGTGTGTATATTTGTACGGGCGATTATTCCACCGTTGACATACCTTTATTCGTATTTGGTAAGGCTGTAATGGCCATCTTACAATGCTCTCATTAATTACAAAGAGGACAGGGTGCAGACTGAGCTGTAATGACCAATTTGAAATAAATATAAAACACAACTTCCTCTATATAAGAGGGTTTAACGTACTCATTGAATTCCATATCAAACATAGTACTCCATATATAGCAGAGCGCAAAGCTATACTAAAGCTCACCCTATTGTTGGTTACGAAGAAAAAAAACTGCCTAGTTATTTACCTAATGTTAAGTGTTTTGCACGGTGCATGTGTGCAATTTCCCCATCCATAGTTGAAGATGTCAGACGTAATCCCTCCGAACGACCATGGCAGTTACCCGGGAGACCCGCCATGGCATGTCCCTTTCCCATCTCCACCTGGGACTCCAAATAACGATCCCACGTCATCTGGAAGTGAGGCTGACAACAATGATCCACTAGACAAAATTGCTGAAGTGAAGCAGGACCTCCAATATTTGTGTGCGGCAACGGATTGGTGGGAAACGAAATGTGATATTCATGGCCAGGTGATGGGAAACTTGACGAACAAGCTGAACAATGCATATGCTAGAGAAGTGAAGCAAACAATGAAAGCCAAAAGTCGGAGGGCAAAGTTAGAGTGGTTGAAGGTCAAATTGGAAGAAACAAAGAAAGATGTTGTGCAAAAATTCACTGAATCTGAAGAATTTAACCATGAAATGGTTGAATCTTTTAACAATGGGTTCGAGATGTTCCGAGATTATGCTTCCGTCATCTCACCAGACTACAATTGGAGCCAAATAGATGTTGCTGGTGTCTGGCAGGTGCTGAATAGCTGTGGCCAAGGAATGGCTGATCATAGCCTTGTGCATGCAGCGAGGAAGAAGAACAAGGACATGGATCTAATGATGGACCTGTAACCGTTTGGATTTTGGTAGGATATGTGTAGCTGGGTCAGGGTAAGTACGGGTTCAAAGCATTTTGTGGACACAAATGAATTTTGTATGAATGTGGTGCCTTGTTTACGCCGTGCTCTTATTCTCACGGTTGAGTGGCAAATTAGTAAGTTTGTATAAACGTAAAGTGTTGTGTACTGTATGTGTGCTTATTGTATGTTTATTGCCCTCATATTGGAAGCGTCAAGTACTTATATTGTTTGTGTATTGGTATATTATTGTCTCATATTGGAATCGTAGAGTACTTATATTGTTGTTTTATTGTTTTTGTATTGCTACTGTATTGTGTCATATTGTGATCGTAGGGTAGGTATATTGTGGTTGTATTGATGCTTTATTGATTGGCATCATAGCATATAGCTTTTCCAATTGAGTAATGGTAAAGAGGTACTGTAGCAAAGGTCGTAACGATGGCGGGTTTAGGAAAGTTTGGTGGTTCTGAAGCACGAAAATATCCATGGAAAGATCGGAAAGATATCGATTCCATACAAACCACGGACAGTATACATACATGCAAATTTTTACGTGGAACAAAAATACAGTTATGAAAGGAAGAATTAAATACGAAATAAAAAAAAGGAGGGTGTTCATTTAAGTAAACAAGCAACAATTTGAAGGGATAGTAATTTCAGTACTTATAATGAACCTTCGAATTAAAGAAGCAATAACATGAAATGGATTAAAAAGGGTTTGTAATGAATGACATCAAGTAATGAAATAATTGAGCAACAATATAGAACACTAAGTAAATAATTTTCATTTTGCAAAACAGGTTCGAACACTTATAAATACCAGAGTCCATAGTCAGTAATCAAAAAGCGATGACTGGCGTTGTGGTTAAGTAGCTCAGAACCTAGAAGGGGGGAAGGGTTTCATCCTCTGTGTGTGTGACTTCAAGTGAATAATGCTTTTGTATTTAAAGTTCACATCACAATAGATCGCGATATTATAGATAATATCGCGATCTGTTGACCATGTGTAGCTGCATGTATACTTTCCCAAAATTCTCTATATATTCTGTTCTGTGGCGATGAGAAGAATGAGCAATCATGAAGTACTACCAGTATCACAGTAATTGCGTAAGCTTTGCATTTGAAGGAGTTTTATGTACGAGATGCAATTGTAGTTAGCCTTCTAGGCCCTTTCATTTTGGACGCAACAAAAGGACAGCAGCATGACGATAGTGTGAATATACAGACAGGAATACATGACGTTGTCTAGGAAAGGAAAGCAATTTATGAGAATTTGACTACAATCACAATAGAGAACACCAAATCAAATTCAATTCAATTTCAAATGAAAGGTACATAACAAACGAACAGAAATGCTAATCTGAAACACACATTGGCCAGTGGAACATTGTTAATTTACAGCTGGTTTCACTGTGGTGATGGCACTGTATGTTCACCAATTTCTACTAATAATAGGCTGTCATTGCAAAGGACTTGTTACCTTGTTCCATATGCTTCACATGACCGTTGAGTGGACCGACTTCCATCCCTGCAGCATCACCGAAGCTATTCAACAACTTCGCAGTTGACCAAAACAGAGGTAGAAACTAAACAAGTGTAACATCTACGCAACGTGCTGCTTGTTGGTGAGAGGGACAGATTGTTTGCATGTACTTCGGTAGTGGCCCTTCACACCACACCTTGAGCATTTTTTTTGACGGGACTCCTCTCCTCTCGAAGCTATTCTTTGCGTTTTGCGACGGCCCGGCATAACCTTACAAAGAGGAGGGAGGATTTTGACCTTCTTCAAATTTGGGGAATAACCCATGTGCCTTCAGGTGGTACAGGATAAATAGATTCAGCATATGCAGCTGCCCATGTAGCTCGTGTATAATAAGAAGAGGCAAAGGAGTAGGGGTTCAATTTCAAGTGCCGACATACCGCAATAGCGTGCTTGCACGGGAGTTGCTCCAAGTCAAACTTCCTGCATGTACAACTACGGTTTTGCAAGTGCACCAGACCGTTCAAATCACCATCCAGAACATTATACTCGACGTCATTGATTTTGACCACATTCATCCTTGACGCAGCGTCTAACCTCTTCCTTAACTTAATTTCCCCTAAATCAGGGCACAACGTAGAATGAGATTTCATTGCTAACTCTCGACGTTGCCTAAACCAACAGACAAGTAGATTTGTAATTTCGTCAATCAAGTGTAGCACCGGAAGCATCCTTGCAAACCGAAGAACTGAATTAATGGACTCCACAATATTCGTTGTCATCACATTATATCGTCGTCCATCACAATGGGCCCGAGACCACTTCTGGATGCCTGCACGTAGTAAATAAGTTCGCACTCGGTCATTGTTTATCCTGGAAAAGTGACGATTGAACTCCGCTAGACGATAAGACTTAGCTGCCCTTACAAAATACCCCAATATCGGATCCGCTGCTTCAACTTAAATGAGGCTTTGATATTGCCTTTCAAGTGATAAAAGCAAATACCATGGCTTGCCCCAGGAAAAACTCTACGCAACCCATTCTGTATGCTAACATTGCGATCTGATATGACAACGAGATTCGAGCAATCACCAATTGCACAATGTAGTTTTCTCAAAAACCACTCCCAAGCTGCATCCGTCTCCAAATCTCCAATCCCAAAGGCAACAGGATATATGTTCCGATTTCCATCAAATGCGGTCGCAACAAACAAAACACCTCTATACTTGCACTTCAAATGAGTAGCATCAACAGCAATCACGGGCCGCATTGACGACTTAAATCCTCGTATGCATGCACCAATTGCCATAAAAAAATATAAGAAGTGATCAGCTGCATCAGTCTCAATGTATGTCAAAGTTCCCGGATTTGTACGCTCCAATTCATAACAATAGGAAGGGAGAAGGGAATACGACTCTTCTGCAGACCCTCTAATTCTTTTGAAAGCTAACTCTCGGCTTCTCCACGCTGTAGAGTAGCTTATGCTCACACCGAAATTTTGTTTCACATCTTTCTTGATATCAGCTGCTGTATAAATGCTGCGCGAATCCTGAAATCTCCACTTAACACAGTCAGACAGCAGTTCAGTCGTAGCTTGAGGATGATGACTACTTATATACGTTATATCACATTCATGAAGTGGATCGTATTTAACAACCTTAAACTCATGTAATCCAACTTTATATGCCCGAACTTTCCAAGGGCAAGGAAGCTGCCAACAGCGAACACACAACCGATGCTTCCCAGATTGGACAGTTCTCAATCGAAAGTGGCCTGTAATAGCTGCTAAACTGATGGTTTTTAAAAGGGCAATCTTATTTGGATAAACTCGGCCAACCTTCAAATTTGCTTCCCAATTTATGCACGAAACGCCTCCACCATACTGAATATATTCCAAACTCTGACCATGCTTCAAATCACCCCGACTTGTATGCATTTCAGTCGAACTTGATTGTCGGGGAGGTTCGGATTGCACCTGTCTACACTGCACAGTGGACGGTTCGACATTGCTGTCCTCATGAGGATGCAGAATCGGAGCAGACTGCGGTTCCTCTTCGTTGCTAGGTTCATTGAAATCAGCAACTATGTTTTCACCACTTTCAAAATTCACTTCTTCAACCCAATCACTCCAATTAAAATCATTCCCACCATTTTCAGTTTCATTGTCCCGAATTACCACATTTCTTTGTTCCACAAAAAGTCAGCAGGAGCATTGCTACTCTCAACGCTTACAATGCCATTGCACCCTTCAATACCATGACCTTCAATATTTTTCAAGCTTGCTACTAAAGGGGTTACTTTAGAGGCCATAACATCTGTGTTGTACTTTACAAAATATTTAACATCATCATTGTCTTCAACCCTTATATGCTTACAGACAGATGAGGATACAGGAACTGAATATTTCAGTGTGACAATATATTTCGTGGGATCTGCATCCATGATCTTATAAATGCGCTGAACAAGGTCGGAAAACGTTACATTCCGTGACACTATTATGCCTTTAGCCTCCCCACCTTCGTAACTCTCAATGTTATCCTTCTTAACCCAACTTCCATTGTAGCATACCAATATTCCAACAGTATCCATTTCTGCAAATAACATAGATAATTACTACAGCAATGAATAAAACTAAAAAAGATACATTCAAACAAATAAAAACATACCACTACACGTATCATTTTATAAATCTTCCAAACTCAAATTCTAGCTGCTTCAACAAGGAACTTTTATTCATTTCTGTCTTTTCTCTGATTTTGTACATAGCTGTGGGTTCCAAGTTATTCACAAACTCACATAAACATACCATGGCAGCAATATGAACCCTCTAACCTCTAAGGGTTTTCAACAAATGTAAACTACTTCAACAAAAGGCTCAGGTTGTGATACAGAACATATTATGTGGTATAAGCTCAATTACCAAATTGGAAACCAAAACACACAAACTTTACTTCTTACCAAAACAAACCCAGAATGCCAATAAATTCCCCACATTAGCATATACATTCAGCCTAAAACTACCCTAACAAACCTACTTTTAGGCCAGACAAAGTTAACATATGATTTTTCTGTGTGCTGTTATTTTGCCCATTATCAAACACATTGCACTACATTATACAAGCATTCCGTCAATTTTAACCAAAATTCAAGTTTACCACATACATCCCACTGCAGATAATAACACAAACTATGAATTTCAACATATCATAACGCCTTGAAACTGAAAATTTAAGCTCTTCTGCCCTTCTGTGGTGAAAAGGGGATGCACGATTTTATAATACACATACACTACCAAACCAATATCTGAACTCACCTCCGTTCACAACGACGCCGGAAGTCGCCACTTTCGCTTCTCCGTGGAGTCGCAACAGTCACTTCGATCTGGAGGTCAACAATGGAGGCGGTGCGTTCCGCCGGCTTCGCTACGGTCAAACTAGGGTTCGAAAGTTTAGGACATCTGGGTTGTGACTATGGATGGGTTGCGAACTGGATTGCTCAGTGCCAAAATGTCTCGCAACCTAGAGTTCCCCCATTTTTGCCAAACTGCGAAAACAGAGAACAAAGAGCCGCTATGCCAAACTGCGAAAACACAGAAGAAAGAGGCGCTAAAGGGTGCTTTTATATGGAGGGCACTTCGGTCATTTCACGTCCCCAAGTGATTATATTAGAATACATTTTTTTTTTTTTTTTTTTTTTTTTTTTTTTTTTTTTTTTTTTTTTTTTTTTTTTTTTTTTTTTTTTTTTTTTTTTTTTTTTTTTTTTTTTTTTTTTTTTTTTTTTTTTTTTTTTTTTTTTTTTTTTTTTTTTTTTTTTTTTTTTTTTTTTTTTTTTTTTTTTTTTTTTTTTTTTTTTTTTTTTTTTTTTTTTTTTTTTTTTTTTTTTTTTTTTTTTTTTTTTTTTTTTTTTTTTTTTTTTTTTTTTTTTTTTTTTTTTTTTTTTTTTTTTTTTTTTTTTTTTTTTTTTTTTTTTTTTTTTTTTTTTTTTTTTTTTTTTTTTTTTTTTTTTTTTTTTTTTTTTTTTTTTTTTTTTTTTTTTTTTTTTTTTTTTTTTTTTTTTTTTTTTCCCCCTAGCTATATGGCTTCTTCTACCTCGCTACATGAATATAGTTATAGTAATGAATCAGCTGATATTAGAACAGCAGTACTGGAGGTTGAAACAGTAGGCCATAATGATCCACTGCCTAGAACTACAACTGTAACTAGGTCAGGGCCGGGGGCTGCTCGAAACCGAAACCAGAACGAAAACTATCCAAAGTTAGAAAAGGGTGTTTTCTTGACGTGGGAGGATTTGTGGGTGAGTGTGGTTTCTAAGGCAAAGAATGAAAAATGGTAGCAGATCAAGATCAATCCTCCAAGGTGTAACTGGTTATGCCAGGCCTGGGGAGCTCTTGGCTATAATGGGTCCTTCTGGCTGTGGCAAGTCTACTCTTCTTGATGCTTTAGGAGGTAACAATTCATACCCTCTTACTTAATAATTAGTTAGCAAAATTTTGGTTTTCACCGACACGATGAGTCCTCATATAATCTAATATGAGAATATAAATAGATTGACTAAGACTGGAATCTGGGCTTTGTACTAAGGGATTTGCTATAAAAACCAGCACAACCAAATACACTTATGTGTCAATGTGTTGCACGCTAGAATATATATAATTTTTATAATATTAATATATATAATACAAACTAAAAAAATTTCGGGGATCTTGTGCGGTGGTGCCACTTGTACCATGCCAGGCCGCCCTTGATATGCACGGGCGAAACTAGCAAGAAGGCTATTCTAGCCCAGGTAGCCTTTAAAAAATATTAAATGTATTTTTATGTGATTTCACTCTATAAAAGATTAGTAGTCCACCTAAATGTAGCCTAATAACTCCTTGTCCACTCAACCTATAGGCCTATAATCATCTTATATTTAATTTGTTTGCTCAGCTAAAAGTACCTTAAATGGAGATGTCAAATAATATGTATCAAAATTGGATTTGATGACTGATAACTTTAGTCAATGGAGTTATGAATTAGCAAATCGAACCTGAGTGCACTTGGGGGGGGAGGGGGAGAGTTGACCCACTTTTCTATTGTGGTGTCACCCTATGTGTGTGGTTTATATGATGTATACTTTTATTTCTAGAAAAATATAGAAATTGTAAGTATACAAATAAAATAAAAAGAACATTAGATTTTAAACTAATAACTTTAGCTAACTCACCCGTGAAAAAATTCATAGTTCCACCCTTGATATCGATTAGCTACTGGAATGGGCCTGCTTATAGAAATGGAGAGAGAGAGAGAGAGGAGACGTCACGGTATGTGATTGTATACCTATTTGTGTTCTCCTCACGTGGTGATTGGCGACGTGAAAGAGAATGCCAATCACAAAAAAGTGTACCTCCGTGAAAGATTTCGCTATCTATTTACTTTTTGAAGTAGAGGACGACTTCTACTATCATAAAACGATTACAAAATTACAAATCATAACGTTGTTTTATTTGTCCAATAATAGCTAGAAAAAACAACCTAGTGGAGATATTTTACAAATCATGAACCACAATTGTTACAAATAAAAATAAAAATAACCGAAATTCAATTTACATACAGATGTGTGGTTACTAAATTAAAGACACTATGGGACCATTTAATTTATATACAGATGTGTGGTCTAATTTTAAGTCATGTGCTCATGATACTGCAGGGAGATTGAGTTCAAACACAAGGAAAACAGGGAAGATCTTAATCAATGGGCAAAAACAAGCACTGGCATATGGAACTTCGGTAGGAAGATCAAGAACTATATATCATAATACCTTTCTCTTTTGGCTTAACGAAGATATAAATACGAGTAATTTATAAAGCTTTCAATATCTCTTTTCATAATTTAAATATCATCAACACAGGCATATGTGACACAAGATGATACTTTGATCACAACTTTAACGGTCAGCGAAGCCGTATACTACTCGGCTCAGTTGCAATTGCCGGACTCCATGTCCAAGGCAGAGAAGAAAGAGAGAGCAGAAATCACAATAAGAGAGATGGGTTTGCAAGATGCCATGAACACGAGGATTGGAGGGTGGGGATCTAAAGGCCTCAGTGGTGGGCAAAAGAGGAGAGTCAGCATTTGCATTGAGCTTCTTACACGCCCAAATCTTCTCTTCCTCGACGAACCAACTAGTGGCCTTGACAGTGCAGCTTCTTATTATGTCATGAGCAGAATTGCAAACCTGGATAAAACTGATGGAATTCCAAGGACTGTAATTACATCCATCCATCAACCTAGCTCTGAAGTCTTCCAACTTTTCGACAATCTTTGCCTTCTGTCGACCGGAAGAACTGTCTATTTTGGCCCTGCTTCTGCAGCAAATCAAGTGACTAGCTTAAGTTCCCTAGCTTACTATTTCTAAATTTGGATCCGTAGCTGTAGGGTTAACTGCTGTTATTTTCAATTGATTGCAGTTTTTCTCCTTATGTGGTTTCCCTTGCCCAACTCTCCAAAATCCATCAGATCACTTCCTTAAGACTATAAACAAAGATTTTGAGCAGGTAAGCCTTTTTGTTTTTTTGTGGTAAAGTCCTAGTCGTATTTGATTGCAACTTTTCTCTTTATGTGGTAATGAAGAGTGCTCAAGCAAGCACTCATTATAATGACTCGTTTGAGCCCATCCAAAATGTAATCTCATGATCCAAACTGTTCATTTTTTAGGACATTGAACAAGGCATGGTTGGACGCACACCCACAGAAGTAGCGATTGATACTCTAATAAAGTCCTATAAAGAATCTGAAAGTTATCAGCAAGTTCAAGGACAAGTAGCTGAACTATGTAAGCAGGTATAGGCTAGTAATCAGATTCATATATAACTCCAATTATTTATATACCATGCAACACTATCCTTTCAAATGGTAGTTGATTCCCAGGATCATGGGAGGGGCCAAAATCTATGACTAACATAAATTTATATGAAATTTAGGATTTCGGTGAAGAATTGGAGAAGAGAAGCCATGCTGGCTTTCTTACACAATCTTTCGTACTTACAAGAAGATCCTTCATGAACATGTATCGAGATCGAGGCTACTACTGGTTGCGCCTGGCTATCTACATTACCATTGCATTAGGCTTGGGCACTGTCTATCAAGATCTTGGACATAGTTATGAATCAATTCAGGTGATTTGTTTTGTACATAAGATGCTTATGTTGCAACAATTTAGTCTGGACGAAACATTTATGCAACAATCAACCTGATCATTTCTCCATCTAATTCACAACATGTTATATATCATTACACTCTCAATTTTAGCCATTGATCATTAGGAGTTCTGTGTACGTATTACGTAATATGTGGTTCAGATTGACAGTTTTCTAAACCTAACTTGCTTGACAAGAGAACACTACATAGGAAATTGTTCGAGAGCTGTCTTATAGTGTTGGATATATTGATATAAAACTTAATAGATTTCTATTTTTCCAGGCAAGAAGCTCGCTGATCATGTTTGTATCTTCATTTCTAACTTTTATGGCTATCGGTGGATTCCCCTCTTTTGTGGAAGATATGAAGGTAAACTAATTTGGAATAGGGTTGGATATATATGCTAAGTTTTGCACTTCTATATAGTTTACATCATAAGTGCCATATATATTAATGTTGCTAAACATAGGTTTTCTCTTGTAAACTCAGGTATTTGAACGAGAAAGATTAAACGGGCACTATGGTGCTTCTGCATTCGTTTTTGCCAACACATTTTCCTCTGTGCCTTTCTTGATATTGATTTCAGTGATTCCTGCCGCCATAACTTATTACGTCGCTGGACTTCACAAAGGATTTGAACACTTCTTCTACTTTGCTTGTGTGTTATTTGCTTGCATGATGCTGGTTGAGAGCCTGATGATGATAGTTGCTAGCATTGTGCCCAACTTCCTCATGGGAATAATCGCCGGCGCTGGAATTCAAGGGCTTATGATTATGTGTGGCGGTTTCTTCCAACTACCAAACGATATTCCCAAGCCTCTGTGGAAGTTCCCATTGTACTACATTGCGTTCCACAAGTATGCATACCAAGGACTGTTTAAAAATGAATTCATAGGCACAACATTTCCTAGCAGTGATCAAGGAGGAAAAACATCCAGTCTCAGTGGGGAACGTATTCTGAGAGATAAATGGCAAGTCGAAATGGGTTACTCTAAGTGGGTTGATCTTGCAATCTTGGTAGGGATGATTCTTCTGTATCGAGTTTTGTTCTTGGTTATTATCAAGGCCACAGAGAAAGTGAAGACTATCGGTACAACTCTTTTGGCAATGCCTCTCAATAAGCGAAGCATGCAAATATTGGTCAATCCGTCCTCTACGCCTGTGCATGGAGGGAATCTGTAGTGGTAGTAGCATAATACAAATGGTATTGTTGGTATTATAAATTAAGCATGAAGATAGGTATTTCTAGCAGTATTGGAATGGAATAGGAAGTATGTGTGCAATAAAGTTGAAGTTGTACTATATATCCAGTATCTAGTGAGTATTTTTTATTTTCTATTATGAGAATAATATAATTAATTAATGTTGATCAGAAAGGATATTTGGATGCATTGCATGTCCCAAGTTACATGAAATCAGAGAATTTTGGAAGTGTGGGGAATGAATCTCTCCGACGGCGAGCCTTTGTTCCCGGAAACTAAAGAGAAAGAAGAGAGAGAAACAAGGAGGAGAGACATAAAGGGTTGAGAGGTTTTGATTGATTGTAAAAACAAAAAAATTCAAATCCATTAAAGGCATATTTGTCATTCTTGACGTGGAGAGTCCACGAGGCATCTCCTGAGTTGACGTGCGAATTTGTGATTCCACAAGCAGTTGTTTGAGTATTCTGCATGGGGAATATTTGTGGGTTAATTCCTCGGTCTTCAATCTTTCTTCTCTTGACTTCAAGGGTGTTGGTCAAAGGCCCTCCGATGCCTAAGTTAGTTCAATTGAATCTTGATAAAGATACGAAAATAGCTAAAATGGATGGGATTTTCCTAGGGGGTGTTGCCCTAGTGGCCTTAGCCATGAGAGAGAGAGTGTGTGTGTGTGTGTGTGTGTGTGATTTCTCTAGGGTTTTTGGAATTAGGGAGGAATTTAGAATTACCTTGAAAGTCTTTTGTAGCCATGTATTTAAAGTCTCCTTGTGTGCTAGGGATTTTTGGAGAATAATCCTTATTTGGTTTGGAATATTATTCTTTCCCCAAAAAGATGACAGGAATTACTCCAAGAGATTTGGTAGAAATTGGCTTCTTAATTTAGGGAGATATTTGTTTACACCCTAATCAACCGAGCATACCCAATATCAAAACAACTTGCCCTAAGGTCGAAGGAAGACACTCTTCTGAAGCGGCAACCACATGCCGAAGCTATCGGCTGCCGAACCTAATTTTCATGGACACGTGTCACCTCTGCAGCCGTTTGCACAATGTCCCCACATCGAAACTTTGTGCAAAACTCCCGTTGTCACTTCCCTATAAATAGGGAACAGTGCCCAAGTAAAAGAAGTAACTATTTTCCCACCTTTACTGTTACTTTGCCAAAATTACCACTTATAACTGACTTAAGCATCGAAGAGCCTTTGACAGGCACCACACCAGTGTCCGAAGCTTGACGACCGCTTCTTTCCCATTGTCTTTTGCAAGTTCTCCAAACATTGAAGGTTCACATATTCTCCCATGCTAAAGATCCAATACTCCTCTATCTAAGTTGACCTTCCCAAAAAGAGCATCAACAATATTCCTATCTTAAATTGAAGATAATTACCCTAATTCCACGTGTCACCTTCTTATTGGCCGGCGAAATATGTGTTCTCACAAATGCACCCTATCTTCTACATGGTGCTTGTGAGGCATTGAGGAGATGAGAAATATTTATCGGGCTCTCCAACTGCATTTGGGCTTTCTTCTTTGAGTTGGGCTCCCAATGAGAATAGGCTTGTGATTCATCCTTGACCTAGGATCCCCAACCTTTATAAATACAAAGCTTCTGTTCACTCTTTTTCAAATTGAAAACTTGTTATCCTCTACTTTCTAGCCTATGAGAGAGAGATCTTGGAGGATTGTACTGCTTGTCAAGGAGATGAGTTATTGTGCATACCAAGGTAGGTTGAACTTTTTTTATTTTTTCCTTTCATTTTTTCTTCGCAGCGAGGACCAGCTGGGTAGGCATGGTTGGTTGTCGTTGTGACTGACACTACTACCAACGGTGGTCGTTGGATATGGATACACTTTTTTGCTCACGGCGAGGACTAGCTTGGTGGGTCGGCAGGTAGTTGGTGTAGCGCGGAGGCTGGAGTGACTGGATGGTGGCAGCGTAGCTGTGGCTACGATTGCTTCTTCTTCTTCTTCTTCTTCTTCTTTTTCTTTTCTTTTTTCTACCTAGCGCGTCCCGAGCCTGCTTGCTGGACCTTAGCTTTTGCTGCAGTTTGGCAGCTAGGTCGTATTCTGAGCCTAACCGTGAGCTTTGGTGGCCGTCACCGGGTGGTGGCTATTACCGTGGTGGTTGCCAGTTGTTGCTAGCGGAGGTTGCGGCTATCTTTTTTATTTTATTTTATTTTTTTTGCAGGAGCTATGGTGCACCATGACCTATTGGACAAGTTGCCGCTCGGCTCGGGACAAGGGCTGCAAATTGGTTCAACACAGCTTCTTACAAATTTGATTTGTTTCCTTTGCAAATCAGCGTGCAAACATTTTCACAAAACCTTTATCTACTGCCAAACATGTTTTTCTTCACGACAAGCTTACAGTGTGCTCTCCCCCTTTCAGCTTGAGGGAGGCTAAAGGCAATAACTAGTTATTACTTTGTTAAATTAGTTATATTTTATGTTTACTAATATATTCTCAGTTGTAATTAGTTATGACAACTCAGCATAGATGGTATGTATATGTATAAAAAGTCCTTTGTAACAGTTTATTCTTTAATAAGAATTACACTTCCTTTAAAGACGACTTTTTGGGTTGCATGATTGGTCTGTTTTCCATTATTAATTTCTTGGCCAAAAGTCATTTTTTGTTCTTGTAGTTTGGCACTTTAACCACTTTTGACCATTTAGTTTCAATTTCATCAATTTTGTCATCGTAGTTTCGTATTTGTAACAATTCAAGGACATGTTAATATTCTTGTCAATTTTTTTAACGATGCAAAGGGCAATTTCGTCAACCCAAAACCCTTGAGCGTAAAAGCTTGTTTGAAATTCTCCCCATTTCATATTTGGACTTGAAATTCAACCACTAATCCCAATTTTTTAAGAACCCTAAACCCAAATGACCAATTTCAAGCCCTAATATGAAATTAGGGGAGTTTTAGACGAGCTTTTATGCTCAAGGATTTTGGATTGACGAAATTGCCCCTTGCATTGTCAAAGAAATTAACAGAAATACTCATTTGTCCTTGAATTGCTATAAATATGAAACTACATAATCAAAAGTGATTGAAGTGCCAAACTACAAGGACAAAAAGTGACTTTTAGCCTAATTTCTTTTGTCTTTGTTTTTTTTTTTTTTTTTTTTTTTTTTTTTTTTTTTTTAAAAATGGTGTGTGGGTTTGGTTGTTTTGTGTTGTTGTGTTTTTTTGAAACTTGGGTTGGGCTTCAGTTTGGATTTGTGTCTTTAAAAGGTGGTGGGAAAGTTTTTTTTTTTTTTTTTTTTTTTTTTTTTTTTTTTTTTTTTTTTTTTTTTTTTTTTTTTTTTTTTTTTTTTTTTTTTTTTTTTTTTTTTTTTTTTTTTTTTTTTTTTTTTTTTTTTTTTTTTTTTTTTTTTTTTTTTTTTTTTTTTTTTTTTTTTTTTTTTTTTTTTTTTTTTTTTTTTTTTTTTTTTTTTTTTAAAAAAGGGGGGGGGGGGAATTTTTTTTTTTTTTTTTTTTTTTTTTTTTTTTTTTTTTTTTTTTTTTTTTTTTTTTTTTTTTTTTTTTTTTTTTTTTTTTTTTTTGGGGTTTTTTTTTTTTTTTTTTTTTTTTTTTTTTTTTTTTTTTTTTTTTGGGGAGGGGGGGGGGGGGTTTTTTTTTAATCTATAGTGAGTGGAAAGTTATAAGGGGTTTTTTTTGAGGGGTATGTAAGAGCCGTTGGATTTCATCCAACGGTGAGTTTTTAAAAGAGGGTGCATGTAGAACCGGGTTGAAATCTGACCCGTTTGGAGACCCAACTTCAGCTGAAGATTTTTCCCTCTCTGTGAAAAACTCAATAACACAATCCTCTCTTTTTTAATGTAATGCAAATCCACAATTAGAAAGATCCAAAGATCCCAAACTCTATAATCGCTCCATTGTCATCAGCTCCTTGGGAGGCCTGCGATCTACGGTATCCTCGGTATGACGATTAATGGCTTTTACCTAGCTATTGCCCTGTTTTGATTCTATGATTCAAGTGAAAACCCCTTCTCTTTTTCGTTCAGCAGAAGAGATTCCAGATGAAAGCAAAGTAGCATATCTCTTTTTCGTGCTGCTGCAGTTGTTCCTTGATTTTGGTAGAGATGGAGTCTCCACTACGAAAGAATCCTCTCTAATGTCCACCACATTCTTTGAAGCTGACTGACTTCGGAGCTCCCGATTGACTTTGAGAGGTAAGTTCACTCTTGCTGGATTGATTTTGTTGGGTTTGATTTGTTTTTGTGAGGGTGAGAAATTTGTCATTTGTGGCATCAATAATGCGTCATTTGCTCTGCTATCAATAATGCGTCATTTCCTTATGAATATTCAATATACTTAGTTGATTATTTTTTTTGGAGGGGGGGTTGGAAAATTATGAAATGTAGGTAAAAGATCCTAAACTTAGGCTTAATAGCATTAGGAGTAAACATTTGGAGAGGATATTGGGTGAAGTTCTGTAATTGCTGGTTTGAATTACATTTGAGTTCTTAGTTGAACATGTTGGTTCTAATGTTATTTTTTCCAGATTATTTCACAAGAGATGACGTAACTATTATTAAATTTTGCTTGTGTTTTGTGTAATCAGAATCCCAACAAGCTAGGCTATGCGTGTATTGTGTCAATTTGGGCAATGTTTTGTGTAAGTGGAATGCATTGATAAGTTGTGATGCAGTAATGATTGATTAATGAATTAACATTTGTTATGCAGTAATATAAAAGTAGATCAATAATATACGTGGATAAAATGTCTGGGGGCTCAGAGAGTGATGACTCTGTAACAGCTAATGGGAGGGTTTACATTCCTGAAGTAAGAAATGAGGAAACACCAGCAGTTGGGATGAAGTTCGACTCGCTTGACCTCGTTTATAATTTCTATAATAGATATGCATTCTTGGCTGGCTTTGGTATTCGACTTCATTCCAGCTTTTGGGGGAAAAATAAGAAAGAGATTCTGAGAAAGAATTTGTATGTTGCAAACAAGGTGCATACCGAAATGATGAAACTCGGGAGAGAAAAAGACAGCGGGGAATAAGTAGATGCAATTGCAAAGCTAAGATTGTGGTTGTGAAGACACATGGGAGCAAGAAGTATACCATCTCTCTTTTTGCAGAGGGACACAATCATAAGATGACACCCTCAGGAAGAATGCATTTACTGATATCACACCGTCGTATTTCAGATTCTACAAAAGTACTCACAAAACAGTTGGGTTCGGTTAATATTCCCATTAATCAGAAGGTAAGTATTTTCGAGGTGCAATCCGGAGGAATGGATAAAATCGGTTTTATCAAAAAGGATATCTACAATCTTGAATGTAGTGTGAATGGGAAGCTGAGGAACCACGATGTTGAACTAGTGACCGAGTATTTTATGGCTGAACAGAAAAAAAAATGAGGCTTTTTATTTCAAGATTGAGGGAGATGGCGATAACAGGTTTAGTCGATGTTTTGGGCAGATGCAACTTCTAGACGGGCGTACGGGTTTTATGGAAATGTTGTTGTATTCGATACCACATTCAACACGAATAGATACGACTTGACATTTGCACCAATGTTGGGAGTTAATAACCATGGTCAAACAATTGTCCTAGCATGCGCATTTTTGAGCAAGGAAACGACTGAGTCGTTTATTTGGATGTTTGAGGAGTTTAAGAAAGCCATGCCAGGTGGCGAACCTAAAACGATCATCACAGATCAAGATGCGGCAATGAGCAGAGCGATTTCAATAGCCTTCCCGACTACATTTCATCGACTTTGCATATGGCACATCACATCAAAGTTCTCTGTTAAGTTACCACATTCTGCTTATAAGGAGTATTGGGGTGAATTCCAGAAAGCCATATGGGATACTGACAATAAGGATGAGTTTGATGCAAAATGGAATATTGTGGTTACAAAGGCTGGTTTGACTGACCATCCATGGCTAAGTTCAATGTTTGATTTAAGGGAATCTTGGGTTCCAGCCTACGCACGACACTTTTTTGCCGCTGGAATGTCAAGCAGCCAAAGAGCGGAATGTTCTCATGGTTTCTTCAAGCAATACATATCAAGGAGAAATTCGTTGATGGATTTCATAATAAGATTTGAGAGGGCACTTTCTCATCAACGTCAAAAAGAGTTAGTTGCTGATCACGTAGATGCATTTGAAGTGGCTCAATGTATTCTACCGATGCCAATGAACAAACAAATGGCTACCTTGTACACAAGGACAATGTTTCAAAAGTTTGAGCAAGAATTAATACAAAGTACAGCATGTTTCCTAGAGCTGAAAACAGAGGATGCTTCTAAAGTTGTCTTTAATGTGAGCGAAAGGAAAAATTGGGAAACAAGAGTGGCAGAAGTCGTATATGTCAAAGATTCTGACCACGCATCGTGTAGCTGCAAAAGATTTGAATTTGTTGGAATTATTTGCAAGCACATCCTAGCATTGTTCAGAAGGGACCAGATTGAATATATGCCCGATAAATACATTTTGAAGAGGTGGAAGAAAACTGCGAAATTTGGATTGGTGTCAGATGCAAATGGCAACGAAATTAAAGACTCTGCAAATCCTGGTCTTTTAATAAAGCGGAGTACAATGTCCCGACTTGCTTCAGATGTGGTTGAGGATGCATTAATGTGTGAAGAAGGATGTGAGCTACTGTCAGAGACTCTAAAAAGTTTGCGGGTGAAGTTGAAGTTGTTGAAGGATGGACCAAGTAATAACGAAGTTGGAGGGTCCAGCTCTCAAACACAATATATGAAAGACCCTAAGAGAGTAAGGTGCAATGGAGGGTCGAAACGAGTAACGGGAGCAAAGGAAAAGGCAATGAAGCGAGGGATTAGACACTGTCGGGAGTGTGGACACATTGGTCATGATAGAAGACAATGCCCAAGAAATTTGAACACACCGTAAGATGTTAACACTATTTATAATAAGACCTAAAATTTGAATAGGTAAAGTTCTTATGTGCTTCTGTTTGATGTTTATGCAGGACATCACCGTTGAACAATGACGAATCAACTCCAATAGATCTTAGTGACCCATTATTCAACGAATTTTACAAGATGCACGGACCAACTCAATGATTTAGGTTTCTATTATACGAAGCCCGGTTATTATGAAGACTAATGATCAGGTGAAGTTTTCTAGATGCAGTTTTATTATTATTATTTTTTTGTTCATGTCCACCGATGAGCTCTTACTATGTCCATTGATAATTGAAATGAAAATTTGCTTGGTTTCATTCTTGCATGAAATTTGGACACATGTTAATTTTACGTCTTCTCCCTATTTAGAATTTTCATAGACATTAGATAAAGCATCAAATTTTGATTTATGTGAAGAATCAATGACTTTTACCTTGTAAAATGGGTAGTTTATAGGTAGTTATGACAGGCTAATGCAGCATTTCCAGCAGCCAGCTGTTGTTTCCATTACCAGTAATGATTTCCAGCAGCACGCATCATTTGTAGCAGCACCCACTTTTTGCGAATGTTATGTTCTAGTGTTTTACTAGTGATTAAGATCTGAGCTGGACTGGTTATTAGGTGCACGATTTTGCAAACATTCGTAACTGAAGGATACTTGAAGCACTTTGTTGGAACAGAAAGATTAGAAAGCAACGTGTAAAAAAGTACATTGCAGCTAATCACTTTTCGAATGGTTGGGTAATATTAAAGGGTACACTAACATTTGAACTACTCATAATTCCACACACAAAAGAAAATTTGATTGCAAAGCATTTTATGTGCTCCCTCTTAGCAATACCACGATCTCCCCAATCAACTGAACAACGGTAGCCACAATCACTAGGTCGTATTGGTCAGCTTCTTCTTAGCAGGTCTCACGTGCTTATGGTCACTCATGTCCCCCAGTGATATAGACAAAATAAATATTCAGCAATATTTGGAATTTTATTATATATACATAAACCATAAACCATTCACTACACAATGTATAGCACATGGTATTTTACTTATGACTCACGTGTCATGATAATGGGGCTTTACCGATTCCCAACGTGCTGTGATATTGATGCTTATTGAATAATATTTCCATATTTGCAAAATATAATGTTAGACAGAAGGAACACATGATGACTTGCAAGACATAGTCCCAATAATTATATATGAAGCAAATGAAACTGATATTTGTATTATTTTATATTAGATAATGACATTAAGGGAATATAGTTCTAATTTGTGCAATACCACGATCACCCCCAACCAACAGAACAGCTGTAGCCGCAATCACTTAGTCGTATCGGTCGGCTTCTTCCGAGCAGCTTTGACGTGCTTATGCTCATTCATGTCACCACCATCGTCTAGTATCTCTCTCACAACATCAGGGGACACATAGTCCCAATTATAATTGTATGAGTAGTTGCCGCGAATGCTCGGAATTTTCGAATCCTTCGTTGAATGCCAACTCCAGTTCACTGTGGTGCTCTTCGCATCGCATATGGTTCATCAAAACAACCTTTAATTTCATCATTCATTACTGCATCCAACTCCTCAGCTTTCAGCTTCCTTTTATGACTCAGCTTCAAGTACTTGTTCTTTTGGGAGAACGCTTTGTTCACTCTAATGTTAGATCAGCCAAAATGGCCTCGTCTTCAACACATTTCTCGTGCCATGAATTGATCAGTCTGGAATTATAATCCAGCTTGGTACTGACTGCATCTATTGCCTCTAATGGATCATCGGAGTCCCCCTCACTCCCAAATGATGTTGAAAATGGAAGGGGTCGGCGAGTACAACGTGGAAACGGAACCTGCGACTCCAATTTTTCATCTTCGATTGTGTTGTTGGCGCCTGAAGAGGTTGACATGCTTGAATAATCCTATTTTTTTAGAGGATGAGGATTGCAGATGCAATTTCGTTTGAGAAATGGAACATAGCTTTATAGACCAACATACCAAAGCTTGCGTGTAGTCAAACATATCTACTTTATTTCAATTTTAAAAAAAAGAGGTGTCAGGTTTTGCTTTTCAAGCATGTCAACCTCACACTCTCCTTACACCACTGTTAGTGGTTGAAAGAAACTCAATGGAAGTGACATCTAGTTAGTGAACCCAACCAAACTAAACAAACTAGTTAGGATTAAACTTAGATTGTATGAGACCTTTTTTCATTTATACATTGTCAACCAAATGTTTTTTGGCGGGAACCCTTTTTTATTGGTATTACATCACCCCCTTCATAAAAATTCTCCCTCCATAAAAAACTCACTCCTCCACCGAATCTATCTCCATCTACTGAAACTCTCTCCCCCATTGAATGGATTTACTAACCAAGTTTGATGTGAGCATAATAAACACCCCTCCAAACAAAGACCACCTTCGAAACGCAAGTGAGTCACCAGACAAGCAATGTCACTTTCCTAGACAGAATGACCATTTTGTTGGAAGTTTTGAGTCTGAAAGAGTTCTTGCTTTCTGGAATTAGAGGCATCTTCAACTTGGTGATGAAATCCAAAGGGCAAGGGCACGTTTGGAATTTGTTTAAGGCCAAAATTGAAGATGACAAAAGGCAGGCCAATCTGGATAGGTGAAGTTGCAGCGCATGAAGCGTAGACACAAACGACTTCGGAGTGTAGCTGTTCAAAAATACAAGAACTCATCTAATGCAATGGAGTCAAAGAAGCGTGTGATGCAAGCTGGATTCGACTACTTTCCGGTCCTATGCAAAAACTCGTCGTACCCGGGTTTGATTGGTCATCTATTACCGTTTCCGACGTTAACAAATATACTCAGCAAGGGAAGTAACCATTTTGGGTTATCGTGTTTGAGTAGAGGCAAATCAGAGGAACTGGAATTTCGTTAAACTCTGCTTCAAACCTATTTTGATGCTTTCTACTATAGAAGATTTCAACCTTAATATTTTGATGTCTTTAATTACGATAACACGATGCAAAGTGCCCATCTACTTCAGTCATATGTTGCTGCCATGTCCATTTTTTTGTGATCACGTATCAGATTTGGACATGGTTGCATCATATGCAATGTTGCCTTTATGTATTATATGTTAGGGTAAGGTTTATGGAAAAGCATGTGTGAGTGGTTTTGTGACAAGGTTATGGCATTATTTTGTACCAGTTATATATTGTTTTTTGTACTGGTTCATCTCCTACTATTGCTTTATTTCTTTATATTATATGTTTATGCGATTGGACATGATAGAAAATATATTACTGATTCCCAATGCGGCGTCATAAGGACAACTTATTGAATACCGCCGACGTGTTGAAAACTCTAGGTGCAGGTGCATATGGACAACTTATTGACTATCTCTGACGTCTTCAAAGCTCTAGGCGCATGCGCAGTTCCAATGATGGCTTCGAAGTAGTGGTGCATTTATTATATATGTACATTATTATAACCAAAACAGATAATTTTACATCCTTATATATGAAAGGAAACTAATTCTTGTATTAGTACAAATTATATAACGAATATTAAGGAAATATACTTGTTAAAGTGACAAACATATATAATTAGGGTTAAGAGGAAAGTGAGTTATGTAAACAATTTTTGAATTTTTAATTGCGAAATGGATGATTTATGGGTTCCATAGTTTTATAACGTCATAAGGAGGCCGGAGTATTTGTCGGGGCATTTTTAGGATTTTTTCTACTATTTATTGCATTTTTTCAAAGATTTTTGCACTAAAAAAGCCAAAATAATTGCCAAATGGACACATGGCGCGATCTCAACCCCTCACCTTTCACCCCTTGACAAGTGTGCGTCAGTCAACATGGCCACATCCTTACCTTTTACCCTAAATTATTATTTTATGACTTTTTCTTAGAAAATTCATAACTAAATACACAAAAAATCAGAAAAATGATCCGAAAATTGCTACGAACTCATTGAGACTCCATCTCCCTTGCTGAATTCCCCGATTAGTGGTTACGCATTTTAAAAAACAATTCCGAACATTAACGGGAGATGCTTGTTGAAGTAGATTATTGAAGTTAAAGTTAACAAACATATATACTTAGGGTTAAGAGGAAAGTGAGTTATGTAAATCATTTTTGAATTTTTAATTGCGAAATGGATGATTTATGGGTTCCCCTCGTTTTATAATGTCACACGGAGGCCGGAGTATTTTTTCGGGGCATTTTTAGGATTTTTCTACTATTTATTGCATTTTTTCAAAGATTTTTGCACTAAAAAAGCCAAAATAATTGCCAAATGGACACATGGCGCGATCTCAGCCCCTCACCTCTCAACCCTTGACAAGTGTGCATCAGTCAACATGGCCACATCCTTACCTTTTACCCTAAATTATTATTTTATGACTTTTTCTTAGAAAATTCATAACTAAATACACAAAAATCAGAAAAATGATCCAAAAATTGCTACGACCTCATTGAGACTCCATCTCCCTTGCTGAATTCCCCGATTAGTGGTTACGCATTTTAAAAAACAATTCCAACATTAACGGGAGATGCTTGTTGAAGTAGGTTACTGAAGTTAAAGTTACAACAACATATATACTTAGAGGAAAGTGAGTTATGTAAATCATTTTTGAATTTTTAATTGCGAAATGGATGATTTATGGGTTCCCCTCGTTTTATAACGTCACAAGGAGGCCGGAGTATTTTTAGGATTTTTCTACTATTTATTGCATTTTTTCAAAGATTTTTGCACTAAAAAAGCCAAAATAATTGCCAAATGGACACATGGCGCGATCTCAGCCCCTCACCTTTCACCCCTTGACAAGTGTGCATCAGTCAACATGGCCACATCCTTACCTTTTATCCTAAATTATTATTTTATGACTTTTTCTTAGAAAATTCATAACTAAATACACAAAAATCAGAAAAATGATCCGAAAATTGCTACGAACTCATTGAGACTCCATCTCCCTTGCTGAATTCCCCGATTAGTGGTTACGCATTTTAAAAAACAATTCCGAATATTAACGGGAGATGCTTGTTGAAGTAGGTTATTGAAGTTAAAGTTAACAAACATATATACTTAGGGTTAAGAGGAAAGTGAGTTATGTAAATCATTTTCAAATTTTTAATTGCGAAATGGATGATTTATGGATTCCCCTCATTTTATAACGTCACAAGGAGGCCGGAATATTTTTCAGGGCATTTTTAGGATTTTTCTACTATTTATTGCATTTTTTCAAAGATTTTTGCACTAAAAAAGCCAAAATAATTGCCAAATGGACACATGGCGTGATCTCAGCCCCTCACCTTTCACCCCTTGACAAGTGTGCGTCAGTCAACATGGCCACATCCTTACCTTTTATCCTAAATTATTATTTTATGACTTTTTCTTAGAAAATTCATAACTAAATACACAAAAATCACAATAATGTTCCGAAAATTGCTACGAGCTCATTGAGACTTCATCTTCCTCCTGAATTCCCTGTTTCATGGTTACGCTACATTAGTATTTTATTATTATTTATCCAAAATTATTTTTATTATTATTGTTATATTACTTTTAGCTTGTACATTTGTTAATTATATTTACTCCAAATTTTTAATTTTATTTTATTTTCCGTGTGAATTGACCATTTCTGGTGCTAATCAGTTTCTCTCTTCTTCAATTTGTTAATGTTTTTTCTTTTTTAGGTTTAAGGGATGTTTTCAAACATAAAATGGAAATATACAAGCCATCCATTCTACAACATGAGGAAATAATTATTCAAAGTCTTTCACTGTTCAAGTTTTGCTTAGAAACGTGTAACCCAATCATTTGGGATATGCTAAGTGGGAAAATGTCTTTCCCAAAAACCGGTGAAAAGACACATACTCACTTCATGCATGCGTTTCCGTTTACCAAATATTAAGATTGCAGTTGTGCAAAATATATGTGTCAGTAAAATGTCATTCGTAGCCGTCAATTATGTCAGTAATAATTCCACTATATAACAAATATTATACATTTATATATAAAACGGTTTAGGACAGCACAAATAACACCAGACAAAATAGATTAAAACATGAAATAGAAAACAACATTTGTAGAAAATAGACACGCATAAAAACCGTAGAAACATACTACAACTAATTATAAGGGTATGGATTCCCTGGCACAACATAGACACGCATCACCTTGAACCAAAAACACTCTCACGGTGCCATTTGCATCGATTGCAACAAGTCCAGAAGGCAGGATTGATCTTTTCTTCACTAGGCCAGCCTGGAATAACAAAACACCAGTCGTTGTTGTTACAAGCGCTGCACTGAATGAACTTAATCTTCCTATAGGGGCTTTTTTTCTTCCAGCAGCTACTACGGGCCTGACTGCCGTAAAGGGCAAAATGGAAGAAATTGCCCCTTGAGCCTGAGTTTGAAAATTAAGCCCCAAAATATCTCGAAAAGGCAGTAGAGCCTTAGGAAGTATTTTGGTTATCTTCACCAACCAAAATAATGGCAGCTTACAGGTAATTTCTTCATGCTTACAGATAAACTTTTGAGTTTGGCATGAGGGGCTTGTGGCATGGGAGCAAAATTAGCATGAGTTGAGCACCAAAAAGGAAATATGGTTCCTAGGGAGAAAAGGGAGTGTTTAAGGTGAGGAAGAAGAGGTTTTCAAGCATATGTGGCTAGGAAGAGAAAAGGGAAGAACTATGTTCTTCTGGCAGCTTGTCAGAAGAAGAAAATGGAGGAAGATGAACAGTGCACGAAATTGCTGGTTTTTGCAAGTATGAGAGGAAGCTTGCTCTCTAGTTGTGGATGATTTTTGTTGGGTAGAAGAGGCCCTAATTTATAGCCGCTGGAAGCTGATATTTTCCAAGAAAACCTAATGGCTTCTACCCATTTTGGCTAAGCTTTTCCTTCCTTTCTCCCTTCATCTCTTCAATCATCCCTTTTTGGTGAAATCCACTCTACCCATTTGCATAAAATCAGGGATTTTTGGGAGCTCAAAGCCCCCTTTCCTGCGGCTGTTTCAGACTTCTATTTTCAGCCATCTTTCTTCCTTCTTTTCTCTCCTTTTCCAAGGCTAGGTCTGATGAGGGAAGGAATGGGTATGCATGCTGGTTCAAATGGTGATTTGCGCTCCAATATCCCTTGGTCATTTGGAAGTTTTTGCTTGAAACTTGTTTCTCCCATGTGTTGGAGCTTTCCAGCAGCTTTCACACATGGATATTTTGGCTTTCAACGTGGCTTTTGTTTTCAGCTAGGTGCTGAAGATTTTCATATATATTTTTTTGGGTTGCTTGGGCCTTCTATGACAATAAGTTGGTTTATCAAGTACATGGGCTAACTTCATCAAGTATTGGGCTAGTTTGGTTGAAGTGATGGGCTATTTGGTTGGAGTAATGGGCTATGGGCTACTTTCTCTTTTGTGCTCACCCACATGTTTGGGCCTAAGAAATGGGCTTGGGTTCCGAGGCTCCCAAGTAACCCGGAACCTCCACTTCTTGGTCCATCAATGGGGCCTCATGACAATTTATTACCATCCATACCACAACCCACTCAAGCAAGCCCCGGGTATTTGAGTGGCTTGGGGCCCACTTAAGCTTGTGGCGTGATTAGGTGCGGAATGATAATTCCTTGCTTAGCGTGGCGTGTCGTTTGGCGTGGCATGTGTGCAAGCGCATATGATGAACTTTCGCATGCCCAAATCGGGTTTCTTCTTGGTAAAGCATCGCATTGGGCCGAGAATTTATTTGGGCCGAACCGTGAATATTTTGGGCCTCAACATTAGCCCCCTTGATTATTGGGGCCATAAATGTGTATTGAAATGGTCCGAATAATCAATTTTCAGCCCAAAATAAATTACCGTGGCATGGCATGGCATGGGTTTAGGAGCAACTCAAGGATAACAGGTTAAGAGTCTCTGAATTTTTTTTTTTTTTTTTTTTTTTTTTTTTTTTTTTTTTTTTTTTTTTTTTTTTTTTTTTTTTTTTTTTTTTTTTTTTTTTTTTTTTTTTTTTTTTTTTTTTTTTTTTTTTTTTTTTTTTTTTTTTTTTTTTTTTTTTTTTTTTTTTTTTTTTTTTTTTTTTTTTTTTTTTTTTTTTTTTTTTTTTTTTTTTTTTTTTTTTTTTTTTTTTTTTTTTTTTTTTTTTTTTTTTTTTTTTTTTTTTTTTTTTTTTTTTTTTTTTTTTTTTTTTTTTTTTTTTTTTTTTTTTTTTTTTTTTTTTTTTTTTTTTTTTTTTTTTTTTTTTTTTTTTTTTTTTTTTTTTTTTTTTTTTTTTTTTTTTTTTTTTTTTTTTTTTTTTTTTTTTTTTTTGTGGTTGCTGAGGTTCTATTTTTAATTTTTTGTTTTGAAAAATTTTAGACCCAAACGACCACCATTTGTTGTGCCCCTTTACTCCCTTTTTTATTATTTAAGTGTGATTTGCTAAAAACCAAAATTACTGTACAACACTGCGTAGCCTGCCATTTTTAAAAACCGAACATTTAGCTTCATTTATCTCTTAATGATACTTCTGGTGGTGGTTGTTTAGTAGGTGATTTGAAGCATGGTTTCTGGACTAATTGTAGTTTCCAGAGTATGTAATTAATGGTAACAATTCACTTGTTTTTTAAATTACAAAAATAAGTTTAGGGTGCTATATGCATGACTTTTGTTTACATTTTCTTCTTCTTTCTTCATAGTTTACATGCCTTTGGAATCAAAGTATCTGCTCATTTTGACATATTGAACTTATAAAATGGGTGAGTGAGTGAGTGAGTGAGTGAGTATGTGTGTGTTTATGGTAGTTCCAGGAACAGATCTAATGGAGATGGGGGTGGGGCCTGTAGCTATGAGGGTTAGAGCATGTGGCTGCGAACCATGGTGTTGGGGCTTCAAAGCCTTCATGAACAATATTATGTCTCTCATTAGTGCTTGTACACATGCTTCTAGAGCTACTCGATTAGGTATGCACCGGGTGCATTTCCCTGAGGGTGTCCTAAAGTTACTCTCCAGGAGCGGAACATCTTTTCTCAAAGAGCAAATCCATCAAACTTGGTCAGCCATTATAGAACAAGCAATCCTAACGTGGGTAGATTTGGTTAGGGGGATGCAGAAATAGTACCTCAAGATTCAATCTGCATGTGTTTGTCTGTTTGTCTGTCAAGGTATATGCTGATTTTGACATGTTGTACTTATAATAGTGTTGTGTGTAAGTCAAAGTATCTATTGATTTTGATATGTTGAACTTTTACTATGACTATGTGTGTGTATGTTGATAAGTACATTGAACTTATAATATACTGAAATCTTACTGAAGGTCCAAATGGTAGTGGGAAGAGCTCACTTTTCCGAGTTCTAGGAGGTCTCTGGCCCTTGGTATCTGGCCATATTGTGAAACCTGGTGTTGGTACTGATCTCAATAAAGAAATTTTCTATGTACCACAAAGACCATACACAGCTGTTGGAAACACTTCGGGACCAGTTGATTTATCTCTTACTGTAGATCAAGAGGTTGAACCACTACACACAGTGGAATGGTGGAGTTATTGAGAAATGTGATTTCTCCATTTTATCCTTTCCTCCTTGTCATTTTGTTATTTGTAGATCCTAAATATTGTGATGATTCCATTAGAAGTTTATAGGCTGACCTAATTATTGGCGGGAATTTTTGTGTTCTGTTTTGAAGGTTGACCTCGAGTATTTGTTAGACCGGTATCCACCTGAGAAAGAAATAAATTGGGGTGATGAATTATCTCTTGGGGAGCAACAAAGATTGGGGATGGCTAGACTTTTCTATCATAAGCCTAAATTTGCAATTCTTGATGAGTGCACAAGTGCTGTCACAACTGATATGGAGGAACGTTTTTGTGCTAAAGTTCGAGCGATGGGAACGTCATGCATTACTATCTCACATCGTCCGGCTCTAGTTGCATTTCATGATGTGGTGTTGTCCTTGGATGGTGAAGGTGGGTTGGAGTGTTCAGTTCAAAAGGTTGGGTTGCAAGTTTGTTATCTTACACCATTTTTTCTATAGTTTTGATATAGTAGATATTTCTTTCTTAGAATTTTCCCTTATAATTCCAGGGAGGATTCTCCTCTCCTTAATGAAGGTGGGGGAAATATGATGTTGTCTGAGACAACCCGACAGAGTGATGCAATGACAGTTCAACGTGCATTTGCCACGACTAGAAAGGTCTGAGTGAATTGTTATTTAATTTTTTATGTTGATCTGGATATATGACTGTTTTGGTTTAACAAATCTGTTTGTTAATTCATTGAAGGATTCTACAATCTCAAATTCGAAGGCACAATCTTACATCGGTGAGGTGATAGCAGTGTCTCCTTCCGAGGATCATAATGTTACACATCCATTTGTTCCACAGCTCCAAAGGGATCCTCGAGCTTTGCCATTGAGAGTAGCAGCCATGTTCAAAGTACTGGTGAGTATTTTGTTCTGTTACTTCAAATCACGTTACAGATGGATGTTATGTGATGTTCTGCTGTCTGCCATCATAGTGATAAATGGTAGGTTTCTATTGTTGGCATTTTTAGGTATATTTTAATTCCTCTAGATCACATTACTTCCATATATCATCAATTTATAAGGATTTCTGTATGACAATAGTTTCCTCAATGCCTCCAATTACCCATCAAAAATAAATAACCTGAAATTACTAAGAATATCTGTTGCTGAGATTTTTTTTATTATGCATCTTTAAGGTCACATAACAATATGAAATAACATTCATGGTAAAAGACTAAAGGTGCACTACCTTTCACCTTGATTCACTGCTAATAAAATTGTGTTCTGTTCCCTGTAACTTTAAATCTTTTGTCCACTTGTTTTGTAGTATATTTGATGATTGTTGGTTGTATTGCTTTTTATTGAGGCATCCTGATTGTGGTTGTCACTTCATTTTCCTTGTCCATCATCTTATTTATAGCAGGCTGTGTTCTAACTTCTAACCATCCTTTAAGACCCTGAAGTTATATTTCTTTATTCAGATTCCCACAGTTCTTGATAAACAAGGAGCACAACTGCTTGCAGTTGCTTTTCTCGTGGTATCGAGAACATGGATTTCAGATCGTATTGCTTCCTTAAATGGTATTTTCTCTTCCCTTAATAAGCATATGAGTATTTGAGAGATCATGCAATTTTGTGGTTCATTTATTTGCTTGTTTATTTTCGAAAAGAAGACAAATTTAATTGCTGAAAAACTGTACAGTTCGAAGGAAAGTATGACTTACTACAAAGAAAACAAAGTAGTAATACAAATGCATTAATGCTAAAACAAAACCCGAACAAAACACAACACCTAACACACATCGACTTTCCAGCCTAACCAAATGGCAGTAACAGATAAACTCCAACCTTCTGGGGGAACAGATGGCTATATTGAGGGCCAAAACCGAACTTTATCTTGTAATTCCTTGTTACACTCTCAATTTATGTGGTTAATTATTTATGCAGGAACCACTGTGAAATTTGTTTTGGAGCAGGATAAGGCAGCCTTTATTCGTCTAATTGGCGGTTAGTGTTCTGCAGAGTGCTGCATCATCTTTCATTGCACCTTCTTAAGGTAATTTCGGTATTCAATAGATTCTAAAATTTTCTTAACCACTATAGATTTGTATGAATTTTTTTTTTTTTGCAAAACTATCTGAACACCTTTATAGTTTTTGAACTTCTGGAATATGTTTTCTTTTTTTTGTCCCTTTACTTTCTTCTTTTTGTTACATTTTTTTAATTGTACCGAAATTTATTTTTTTTTTTTTTTTTTTTTTTTTTTTTTTTTTCCGAGTAGATCTTTGTCTGTTGGCCATATCTTTCCACTAGAGAGGAACAACATTTCTCTCTGCAGTCCTTCCAGTATTCGATCCATCTATTCTTTTAGGCCCCCTTCCAGGATCCCTTCAAAATATCAAGCGAAATTGGAAACTCTTGTTCACCTAGTTGAGGCTGTATATTCTGATGAACATGACCAACCAATTTCCAATTGACTGATTTTTTGTAGAGATGATCCTTAAAGGGTATCTAATCATGAGACTTCATGTGTGCACACAACCCGATGGGTGCTCTTATCATATGTATATGTATATGTGTGTTTAAAACTTGGTTCATGAAGGAACTAAGTGAGAATCTCTTATCATAATGTGAATTCTGTTTTGTTGCGTAGGCACTTGACAGCCAGGCTGGCTCTTGGGTGGAGGATTCGTTTAACTCAACATTTACTCAAAAATTACTTAAGAAATAATGCATTTTATAAGGTTTTTGGTGAATGTTTTCTATATATCATCTAAAATTCTGGAAGTGTTTTTTTTTTTTTTTTTTTTTTTTTTGGTTGAGGATTTGAAAATGTTTGTTTAAAGTTTGTGCATATCCATAAATCTTTTCACATGCTGATATTATTTTGATCTGTTGGCAGCGTTTGTATGTTTTTAAGCTGTTTAATAAATAAAAATATGAGAATGGTACCAGATTCATGGTCAATGCTATATACTGTAGGTGTTCAACATGTCAAGCAAGAAGATAGATGCTGATCAGAGAATAACTCAGGACCTAGAAAAGTTAACTACTGACTTGTCGGGACTGGTTACAGGAATGGTAAAGCCTTCTGTGGACATTCTTTGGTGAGCTCTGGCTCTTTACCTAGTTTAAGTTCAAAATTGTACTGGGCTTTGTTTCTCGGGATCCTCTTATTTGAGTTTCTGAAAGTTGGATTGGCTTCTTTATTGGTGGTTTTTGTTGTTGTTGTTGGCGGATCGCCAAATGCTAGGTGTTTCATTTTTCTTTTTCATCTTACTCTTGGGTGCTGTTGCTATTTACAAGGTTCACCTGGAGAATGAAGCTTTTGACTGGTCGGAGAGGTGTTGCTATATTGTATGCTTACATGTTGCTGGGTCTTGGCTTTTTGAGGGCTGTTACCCCCGAATTTGGTGATTTGGCAAGTCGTGAGCAACAACTTGAAGGAACCTTCAGGTAACTTCATTTTAGTTGATTCCTATATTGCTGATGCTGAGCCATTGTTGTAAACATCACTCTCAAATATGACAATTTTCTTAAACTAGGTTTATGCACGAGAGACTGCGTGCTCATGCTGAATCTGTTGCTTTCTTTGGGGGAGGTTCTAGAGAAAAAGCTGTAAGCCTCCTGAAATCCTCATGTCTTTGTTTGAACTCTATGCTTTTATCTTAAAGAATCGTCATTGACTTGCTGCATACATGCTTACGGACATTCTGTAAATATAAATTATATTTGAGACTGTTAAAGCACTGTTTCCCCTTGGTGGATTTATTGATTAGTTTTTATATGCTGCAGCCCATGAATTTGATACAAATATTCCTAATAGTTAAGTTTCATTTTGTACTCATATAAGACTAAACTTTGGCTGGAATTGGTGGGCTAAGTAATTAATGTAGTATATAAAGGTGATGAGATCGAACTGTGGGAGGCAACCATCTCCTTGAGCAGATCTAATTCAGTATTTTGTCCAAATCATATATAAAGTGAAACGATGCAAGTCATTCTGCTCCCTGATGTGTTTTCTTGTATCCCTTCATTATTTTATTCACTTTTCCTTTATCACTAAGTTATAAGAAAAATAAATAAACGAATGAATCACACAATTCAAATGACATTATAAATGAGTTGTTTCATCTCAAACTTAACAAATTATGAAACTTATACATGTTCACAAATAAATTTCAACATTGTTATGAATGTTTGTACTTGAGTACCCACTTACGCGTTATATGTGTAAATTAATTGATTTTCCTTTCTATTACTAAACAGATGGTTGAATCAAAATTCAAAGAACTTCTCGATCACTCCTTGTCTCTTTTAAAGAAGAAATGGTTGTTTGGAATTCTGGATGATTTTACCACGAAACAACTCCCACATAATGTGACTTGGGGGTTGAGCTTGTTATATGCCATCGAACACAAGGGAGACCGAGCATTAATATCCACTCAAGGTGGATTTACTTGTGATTATTGTAAAGATGCACTTACAATAATATATATATATATATATATATATATATAATCTCACAAGTGTTATAACATTTTCAGGTGAGCTGGCACATGCATTGCGTTTCTTAGCATCTGTTGTATCTCAAAGCTTTTTAGCTTTCGGTGACATTCTTGAACTGCATAGAAAGTTCCTTGAACTCTCTGGTGGCATCAACAGAATTTTTGAGCTTGAAGAGCTTCTAGATGCTGCACAATCTGGTACATTTTCTATGTTCCTGAACAACCGTGTTAGAGTTACATCATTTTCAGATTGATTGTATCTTCCTCGCTCAATGACTATCACTTTTATGAATTTAAATACTGACTTGTATAGCAATTTATTCCTTGTCTATAGAGTTTTTCTTAAATGCTTTGTTATTTAATTAGATGTTGACCATCTATTTCAGGATAACAGTTAAGATCTGTTCCTTGTGTCTCTTTGTAGTTGGGAAGTTAATAATGATTTTGAGTGAGATGTAGTTAGATTCTAATGGATTGTTATAAATACAAGAAGGTGGTATGCTTCTTTAGGCTCCCAACATTGTGGGGTCTGGGAAGGGTCAGATTTGGGCTTCCTTAGCCACTTGCTGAGAGGCTGTGTCCATTTATAGCAACTGAAGACTCTTTTGCCAATTATTTATCTATGGTATTATTGATCCTAACAACAATCATGTCTATAGAATTTGTTCAAGTGTAGTTTGTCCAATAGTTTCAGATGCATTGATAAAATTTGTGCGCCTTAGCTTGGTGCTACTGCTACTCCCCTATTACTTGTGCCTCAGTATCTATAATTTTGAATTTTTCACATTCCTATGAGTTACCACTTACATGAAAGCATCTCCTGCTCTCCATCAAAGGTGAAATTCATTCAAGAGAGTTTTGCTTATTTCAAATTAATGCCTAACATGATGATGGCTTCTATGATGTGAAGCATATTGTAAATTGACAGGCTTGCAATTCCATATTATTTTAAGCAGTTACTGGATAAGGAAAACTTTGTGGGGCATTAGTTGCTCACAACTTTCCGTCAGCAGACAAATATACTGATCAAACAAGTTTTGGTCCTTACAATTAATGCATTGGGCAATGGTGGTTTCCGTGGCCTGAAACATTGACAAATAACCTGAATAATATTTATGAAAAAATATATAAAGATCTTACAAAGGCATATATGAAACAGACATATGCAGATATATAGTTATTCTCTAAACAGGACATCCCATCTTTCTTACAGACAGGACCCGTTGAGAAAACCTCACTTCCACTCAGTTTTCTTTAAGTTTTCTTCGTTCTTAATTTTTCAGGTGTTAAAGCTTTTGCATTTTGTAACATGTCAGGCCATCTTCTTACTTGTGTTTCTAAGTGAATATTCTTTTATCGTTGTACAGATAATTCAATTAGAATAAACCTAAATTTACCTTTTTTATATTGAGTTATCTGACATTTATTCATTCATGCAAGCATAGTTGTTGGTTATTCAGCGGCTTCCGAAGCTGACACTCAGTCACCATCTAAGTGGAGAGATTTTAATTCTGAAGATGTCATTACCTTCTCAGAAGTTAATATCATCACCCCATCACAGAAGATATTGGCTAGGGAGTTAACATGTGATGTAGTACCTGGGAAAAGCTTGCTTGTTACTGGTTAGTGTGTAATTTTTTTTTCCTTGTTCTCATAGTCATTATATCTTTATCTTGCTACGAAAATCTATATCTGAGGCGTATGCAATGCTTGAAGGTCCAAATGGGAGTGGAAAAAGTTCTGTCTTTAGAGTTCTTAGAGGTCTTTGGCCCATCACGAGTGGAAGAATCACTAAACCATCACAACATGTTAAAGAAGGTGTTGGATCTGGTTGTGGAGTATTTTATGTTCCTCAGCGGCCTTATACATGTTTGGGAACACTCAGGGATCAAATTATATATCCTCTATCTTTTGAGGAGGCTGAGTTAAGGGCATTGAAGTTGTATCGAGAAGGTGAATTTCTTTCATAATATCAGCTTCTGGTATGCTTATTATTTTCTGTTCTCTCTTATTTAGACGTGGTTTATTAAGTATGGGATTGAAGTGTTCATTTCATTGTTTATATATATTTTGTACTCATTAACAGAATACGGAATACTTGCAAGTTTTTTTGTTTTTTGTTTTCTTTTAAAGGGAATGGATAATTTAATGAATTAAAATTATCACTAGCACTCAAATTTCTCTGTTATAAATAAAATGGAGTAGGTGCAAGGTTGAAAAGAATGAGCTATTTTCAAATTAGTAAAAGTTATGCTTTTCTACAATGTTTAATAAAAACTTCATATGCTGAGTTCTAGAGATACAATTTCATATTTTTTATTTAAAAAGATTATAATTGTATAATGAATTTTTAGAAGGATAAAAGTGGTAATAAGCATATGAACTATCCTTAGTAGTTATTAGAAAACCCATATTTCAGGAAACTAGGAATCAAATGAGGTTTTGAAATGTTAAATTTAAGTGAAATCAATTTTAGAAAGGATATGATTAAGAAACTATCTGTAATTAATAGAGACAAGAGAGGTAAGACTCCAGGTGGAAGGAAGAGAATGACAAGAGCAAGAGTGGAGCTATGTAGTGAAAGAAAATGGTCGATCCCTTCAAAAAATGAATAATTAGGGTTTTGGGGTTCTACACATTGGCAAATGAAAGTAGGAAGTCCAAATATAGAATTGGCTTCAGTAAGAATTAGGGCACAAATTTATAGGCTGGAAAACGAGTATAAATCTAAAGGACCTTGAAAATTAACTAATGAGTGGACTAACTGGGTTCCTTCATTCCCCTATGAAGCTCTTTTATTTCCTGTCATAACACCAGTTCTTCTGAATTCTCAATTTGTGTTTAATCTAGCTTTCATGTAAAGTACAGATGCCAAAACCTATTTCTTCTTTCTGTCCGCTGGTTGTTAATCACCAAAATATTCAATGAACCATCTAGATCCTTAGACAGATCCCAGCTGTGAAATAATTGATCTTTGCCTCCTAGAGGCCACCACGCAGAGTGCACCAAGCATAGCCAGAAAATCCATATCTTGCCTTCATTTAATAGGACGTGCAACTGTAATCAGCAGGTTTAGTGATCCAAATCCTATGGAATATTGTAGCAGCAACAAAGCACTTTTGACATCCATACAGTATTCAAATGCTAATCTGTACAGTAGTATCCAACTATAAAGATGTTGATTTAATCTCATGAAATATAATTAGAAAGGGAAACGAAGTTTGGGGAAATGAGTCTACATACCTTGTTAGCATGTATAATAGACACCTTATCCTTTTAAATTGTGCTCTAACAACCTAGAAAAAATAATAATTCTCTTTTCCACAATCGGGTTTTGAAAATTGTAACTGTTCCAATTCAGGTGAAAAATCTTCTGAGCACACCAATATTCTAGACATGCGGTTGAGAACTATTCTGGAGAATGTCCGATTGAGTTATCTTTTGGAAAGGGAAGAAGGTGGTTGGGATGCTAATCTGAATTGGGAGGACACTCTCTCCCTTGGAGAACAGCAGAGATTAGGCATGGTAAGCAAATATAATAGTTTCAAATCTTGCTTGAGCATGAACTTTCTTATTCTCTTTCAAGGATTTGCTTGCTGTCTGACTTGATACTTTGTGTTTTACAAGGCACGCCTATTTTTTCACAAGCCTAAATTTGCCATCCTTGATGAATGCACCAAGTACGTGACAGCTCCGCATTCTTTTTTGTCTTTTCGTTTCACTCTAAAGAAATGTCTGTTATCTAATATTTGTTCTACATATGTCTTCTCTTTTTTCTTTTTCTTTTTTTTTCCCTTTTCCTTGTTTATTTTTTTGAATAAATGGCAGTGCTACGAGCGTTGATGTTGAAGAACAACTTTATCGGCTCGCAAAAGACATGGGTATCACAGTTGTTACCTCCTCACAAGTAAGTACTACTATAACTATATGGAGGTGTATATCATTCTGCATTTTGGTGTACATGAGATAACTTTATAGGACTTTTATCTGGTTCAGATCAGGTCGCCTTGTGTGATTTTTTTTATTTAGTTTTATCGTTGGAATGCAAAGACCAATGGATTCAATGCCTCTCTGTTGGATATTCTTGTGATTAGCTCCCTCATGTTAGTTATTTCCCTCAAAATTTTATACCATAGTTACTTCTGAGTTTCATAATTTTTTTTCTTTCGCATGTTCTCAGCGTCCTGCTCTAATTCCATTCCATGCTCTGGAATTACGGCTCATTGATGGCGAGGGTAACTGGGAGCTTCGTTCAATAAAACAATGAGTTCGCCATGGTGGAATTACAGCTTATTTATTGTGAAGGTAACTGGAGCTTCGTTCAATAAAGCAATGGGTTGACGGTGTTGGCATCTGCAGCTAACCATTTGTACAGTGTAAGATGCTTTTATTTTGGTGACTTACCATTTGTAGTATATCTTATAAGTCGCAATAGAGGCAAGCTGGAGCGGGTTTTCCTATCCAGAGAAATTTATTTATCTTGGAGCGAGCTGTGTTACTTTGCTCCTACATGACAAGTAGCCTGAAGGAGAAGCAGATCTCTTCATTTTTTTGTGCAAATTACTGTCGAATTGTGGACAATAAGATTGGAGCATACAACACGGTAATAATCTCTGTAGGTTAAAGAAATCTAGTATGTACAGTTTTCCCCAATTTTTCCCAACTTTTGGGTTGTAAGACTTCATAATTTAATCATATTGATGAGCCTCCATATAGAAAAAGAAATGTGTAGGTTATTGAGCATCTCTTTGTAAACTGTATCCTGCCCCCGCGTCCCCTTCATAACCAATATAGCTGTCCCTGCAGCTTCAATTCTTTGGATGCTTATTGCTTCATGTGTTGGGGTTTGTTTGGCATTTTCACAGCTTTATTATTATTATTTTTTCCTGAGTTTTTATTTTCTCTCAACCAGCCACCTAGCTACCTACTATACATATTTGTAGGGTTATGTTCGGGTTAGTGCTGTCCTCTACACCAAATTGCCTGTTTCTAGCGGTGGTTTCAATGTGGACATCTTAGGACCTTAGCTTGGGTTTTCCTCAAGCTCTCTCTCAAATTTCAAATGTTGAAGAGCAAGTGATCTAAGGACCTCTCTCATATGTAGAGATACGAGAGCTTTTGCCAGTTGTAGAACATCTCATCTCTTAAAAAGAAAAATATATATACATGGGATGGAATAGTAGCTAGGGTCAAAATTTGACTTTTGATGTGCATGCCGTTCTGTCACCCAACACTCAGACAGATGAGTCGGTGAAGATGAGACTCTCGGACCAACTCGACTGGTTGCCCCAAACTCACCCGGTTGACAAGATGACTCCTTGAACATCCAAGTTCTTGGAGAAACACGACCGGCCAGGTCACCCAAGGCAATACTTGAACATTAAGCAAGGATTCTCATTCCTCTAAACCTAAATGCATGTCAACCTAAAAACTAAGGGCTTGTTTGGTATTCAACTTGAATTCAACTTTTTAAATTCAAATACAGAATTTGAGTTCAAAACAAAGATAACTTGTTTGGTAGTCCTATTTTTAATAACTCAAACTCCAGAACAACTAAAAAACACCTTAATTATTAAAAATAAAAATATATGTTTTTTTAGTTCTTTTCTAACAATCCACAAGTTCTCAAACTTTTAATATTTGAAAACAGTTTTCAAGTTGCATACTAAACAAGTTTTTGAATGTTAAAAATAGATTTAAGAACTCCTTATTTTTTAAGAAAAATCAAAGTTTTTGAGTTCCCTATTTGAATAGGATACCAAACGCCCCCTAAATTTCTAAGATGCATGTTATGAATATGTAATGCATGACGCGTTCATAACTCGAGAGTTCCAAGAGGTCTTTAATAATCTTCAAGTCCAACCTATTTTGACTTGATCACATGGAAATCATGTTTTTGTGAGAAATATACGAATTGTATTTAATATTACACTACAATTAAGTGTGGACGAAGGGATAGATGGGCTACTACAAAATTTTATATCAAGGGCTAGACACAGATGAAAAAAAAAAAAAAAAAAAAAAAAAAAAAAAAAAAAAAAAGAGTAAAGGTTTGAAATATCACTTGTGGTGGGTTAGCCCAATTTGGTCAAGGCAGTGTGCTTTGCCTCCTTACGCCAAAATTTGAATCTCCCTCCTTGTAGATTAAAGTAGTTTAGAAAATCGCTTTGTAAAAATATAAAAATAAAACCAGTATAAAACCCAAAGTAGGGTTTGATGATAATTTATCTAGTTTATATGATAGTTGCTGAATTGCTTAATGATTAAGGTTATAGTTCTTATGATTTAATATAAACAATTCATAAGTTCTTAATTGTTGGTGAAACTATCAAAGTAGTGACCAAAATTTTGTTGAATTTATAATAACAAAATATACCACAAAGCATATAAATCAAACAAAACATATCATAATATAGAAATATCTTGACTTGAGAGGAGATAGAGCTTGTAGAGCAATGTCCTTAGACATAAATTTTCCCTTAGTTATGTGCTTGTGTTTTGGTGGACGTGTCAAACCTGGATGTAACTAACTATATTCTAGGGGTCTAGCTCTAAAACTCTAAAATCTGGTTGACAAATTCTTTTTGGTTCTCTCTCAGAATAGGCACATGAAGAATAAGACTTAGTACTTAAAATTGATGTACATTCAAAGTGAAGTCTAATCGAACTGTACAAATAGACTTAAGGTTTTTCTTTTTCTTTTTTGACACGGAACAACCAAGAGTAACCTTTAAGATCGAAATATGATAATTTCACAAGCCTCAAGACCTATATGCGATTTTTAAAAAATAATCCTTTATGGAAGTTAACAATAATTAACTAATAGAAATATTAATTAGTCACGCGAGCCCAAGAGCCCCGAAGTAATCAACACATTTTGGCATATACAACATCTCCTATAGTTGCTCGAGCAGGTTATAACAAATCGTTGGCTCTTACAATTTTTCAGTGTGAGATCTTATTGGGGCGCCTGTGGGAGCAACTATTTACAAACCCTAGGTTAAATAATTAATTCCATCTATTTGGGGATTATTTGATTGAATTAAGGATTCCTACCATAATTGGGGATTTGATTCTAAATTAAATCCTTAATTTGATTCAATCTCTCCAAGTTAGGGAAAATAATTCCTTTTCATGTGAGGAATTATTCTTCCGAAACCATAGCCACCAAGGCTCCTATAAATACATGGTCACGCACAAGGCATGAGGTACGTCCAAAACTCTCCAAAAATTCCCTCTCACAAACCTTGTTGTCGCCACCCTCTCTCTCTCTCTCACATAGGGCTCTGGCCACCACACACGTCTCCGGCCACCACACACGGCTCAGGCCACCTAGTTCTCCCCATGAGAAAAAGACCTCCTACCTTCTAATTATCTTCGTATTCTTCTTAGAATCATTTAATTGACTTAGGCATCGGGGAGGCCTTTGGCCAAAACCCCTGAGTGTGGTCTTTTCACTCCGTGTTGTTTTGCAGGAAGAAAGAGAAGCGAAGAAGAAGAAGGGATCTCGAGACGAATATTCTCTAGGGAGGAAAATCACTCCCACAAATTGGTGCCTTCATTGAGAGAGCGAGTTAATGCTCAACGCGTGCTCTAAAATCATTTCCACACTTTATTCCAGTCAACCATGGTTGGAGGTAGACTTACGAGGAGTATGGCCGCAATGTCGCAATTCGCTATGGATCTGTGCCTCCCACCTCACGGCTACCTAGTCGAGAACCAAGTGGCTCACGTTGCTGCACCACAACACGGTTTCACAATTGAAACCTCCTCACAGTCGTAGAGCCTAGCGGCTGGCACCTTGCAGCAGTGAGCCATCAACGTTGGAGCCTTACAGCCTTCGATTGCAGCTGCTGAAGCCACTCGGCCTCACCATGCCACCATGCAACATCATGTAGACACCACTGGAACACAACAACAGCTACACAACCCCACGACCTCCGCCACTTTGCAGCCGCAATACCTCGTTGTCGGAGCTACCCTTCATGGCAACGCAAAGACAACCGGTGCTGCCATCCACGATAGCATCGCCACTCACGACTACCTCAATGCCATATGGGGCCATGCCCCAATCTTAGAGCAAGTCCATCCATTCCCTCATTTGCCATCACACTTGACGTATGCACCCGTGTATGCCTTTGGGCCTTGAGAGCCAATTGAAGCACTTCAAGAGTGCTATGATCCTGTACAAGGTTGACGACGCCTTGATATGCAAGATGTTCACGATGACCTTGCAAGAAGCAGCCCATGATTAGTTCCACACTCTACAATCCGCGTTGATCGGAAACTTCAAGGAGTTTGCTCTCATTTTTACAAAGGAGTACACCTTATATCGGATGGTCAAAAAACAAGCTGATCACCTGGTTAATCTACACAAGAAGCCTGATGAGTCTCTGCGAGACTATATCAAGAGATTCAAGGCTAAGAAGGTGAACATCATAGGATGGGATGGTCGAATCACATCCTCATAATTCAATAGGGGCTTGCCAGCCGAGCACGAGCTATACCATGAGCTGACTATCGCTTTGAGCCAAACCCTGGCAGAAGTCTTCACGATGGCAGAGTGCTACGCACTCTGGGATGACAACCATATCACCATGAAGAAAGTAAGCAAGCAAGCCGAATAACCGGCTAAGCATGCAAGCTAAAAGAACGGCAAGTTCAATAACAAGTGAAATTATGTCATGACGATGATTCGGTGAACTTGGTAGTAAGGTCTTAACTTTCTCACGGAAACTACAAGGGAAAAAATGAGCCTTTACATTTTCGGATAGCGAGTCTCTACATCGATGAGGGCTTTTGACGGGTAGAATACCAAATCTTGTGCCCCAAACTCTTCTCAAATGAGGGCTGAGCTAACTGGTGAGTTGGATACTGCCAAGTAAATGAACAAATCTTCGCCTGATACGAGTTTTGAGAGTATAGGAGGTGAAGTGAGGTAGGTCTTCAAGTTCTGAAAAGTTAGTTCACACTCTTCATCCCATTTGTCACTTTGTCCTTTCTTCAAGGCTTTGAAGAATAACCTGTACTTGTCGGCGGATCTCGAAAGTAATCGGTTGAGAGCTGATGCTCTGCCCGTCAGACTTTGTATCTCTTTCGTTATAGTAGACGACTTCATGTTAAGGATGACCTTGATTTCATTCGAATGTGTTTCAATGCCTTAATGCCTCTTTGGGTGACTAAGTATCCTTAAAATTCGCCAGATGAGACTCCAAATTTGCACTTGCTCCGATTCAACTTCATGCGGTACTTTCAGAACAAGCTGAAAACTTCGACAAGATTCTTGATGTGATCTGCTCGTTAGGGAGCTTTAACTAGCATGTCATCTACGTAGACCTCCATAGTCTTGCCAATTTGCTTATTGAAAATCTTGTTTACGAGCCCCTGGTACGTTGTTTCGACGTTCTTCAGCCTGAAGGCATGATTTTGTAGCAGTATGTGCCTCTTTCAAATATGAAAAAAGTCTTTGCTTTGTTGTCTTCGTGCATCATTGACAGGACCCATACCAAATTCCCCTTTTGGAATCCGTGACTAACCATGTTCCTGTTCAGCACCGATGCCGAGCCCACTTGTTAACATAACCCTTTCTCCCCCGATTTAAATAGAAATTGGGTCTAGACTTCAACTGAAATTTCAGCAGAGTCTCTCCTGAATTACAAACACCTGCAAACAAAGCGATTAATAATCCCAAACAATAACACATAGGATGGTAAAGCACACAATTTACAATATTGTCCTCTAGTCTCAAATTCAACACTACATGGGCAATATAAGAGCTTTCTAGAAAACTTTGGTTTACAAAGGTAAAGGAATTCAAAATGAAATATCCTACAAGTAATGGCATGCGTTGTACAGAATACTCGACGTGGACCGGTGAATCTCATCAAGCTATAACCTAGGGGGCACAAAGAAATTGTGAGTGGGCAAAAATAAAGTTTATAACATAAATTTATATTTGAACATACTAACCCCACTGTTTTAGAAAAGGATATAAACCATGCAATAAAATCCATTTTTATCCATATACCATTCGATACTTGAAACCTTTATATTCCCAAGACATATATATTTATACACACACACATGCACCACATCAAGATATGTATGAGGGAAAACAATCCAACTCGGAGATTTTTATTCTAAACCACATGCCTAGATCATGCATCGCACATGTGGCTGGGGATGAGCAGTCAACACTCACGCCGGGACTTGCATCGCACATGCGGCTAATCCAATCATACATGTAGACTAGCATCCTGACACACCTCCCAAAGAGTGTATGTATGCCCAGATGGATCCCAAAGACCAACTATAATTCTTTGCCATAATTCCATCATCCTTTCCATAACGAACTAGGGGAAGATACAACACATGGTGTATAGTTACACAAATCCCATATTCCACAACCGTATAGTTACATGTTCAATAATAATATTAGTAACACCCGACTCTCTTTATACATAACCATAGTTCATAATAAAATCATGAAAACTCCACAACATCCAATTCCAGCAAATCACAGTTTTTACCCAACTAAATCATGGCTATGCATGCATTGGAAATATGAAAAATAATGCTCATTTAAAAACGAAGTCCACTCACAATTGATCCGAAGTGAACTCAACCCTTAAAGGATCCTTTCGACTAAGCACAAGGAGCTTGAGTACCTATGGAAAGAACACAATGATAATATTAACATTTGAATTGAATCGAACGAAACTTAACTTGAAACTTAATTTCTCGAAAGATAAAACAGTCTCAGAAGACTCATGGTCAACCATGTGGCCAAACTTCCCATATCGTTCAACCGGGCCCGTGAGGCCCACAACCTCCAACTTCCGATCCGAAAGTTCCTATATGATCCTAGAGGTATAGGGAACAACATAATTGAAATTGAAACCAATCGAACCCTAATATCGCATAAGGCGTAATATCCATTCGATAGTCAAACGGTAATCAAATTAAAATCTGAGCGTACCGTCGTGCTTAGGATGACATAGGGGGACATTTTAGGACGAAACTGCCACATAGTGACCCAAGCGCAACCACCAACCACCAGCCACCCGTCCGCGGGCAGCAGTGGGTGTCTTGAGTAAATTCTGGCAACAAAAAATTCTCAAAATTTTTTACAATACCTATACCACACGTTCAGACTAACAAGAGGAACACGTTTTGTTCTTGGATCGCGGCCAAAAAGTGGCCAAAACTAGATGAAAACGCGGTTGAACTGTCGGCCCTATATGGGTGTGTTGATAAATTTCCAAAACTTCAAAATCGATCTAAACCACCTATATAAACAGATAGAGCACGAAGAGTAGATGAAGTTTCAAACCTCACTCAACTGAAATGGCGGCCGAAGTTGCCAAAAAAAGCATAAACACAACCTAAAGAACCTAAGTTCTTCTCGTCATCGAATCAAGCTCTCCAACTACTAACTTGATTGAATCTTGGGTGGGTTTTGTCTTGATTTGGAAATGGTTGATGCCATCACTGTTATATGATATTTTGCAATACCATTTAAGCTTTAGTTCAGTGAAATTTTATACAGGTTCTGCATTGCAGTTTTGGTAATTACAATTGAATTTTTGCCCTTTCCTTGGCCTTCAACCTCACCAATTTAAAGAGTAGAGGCTACCCAAATGAGGAATTGGGTGAGCAAGAGAAGATGGAAACTGCATTGTAAAAAATGGAAACTGCAATGCAGAAAATGGAAACTGCATTGTAGAAAACAGAAACTGCATAGCATGAAACAAAAACTGCATTGCATAAAACGGAAACTACAATGCAGAAAATGGAACGTGCAATGCAGAAAACAGAAACATGAATAACCTATTTTACATTCTAGGTGGTCTTCAGTCTAATTCCCCCTCTCCCAACATGCCTTGAATAAAAAAAAATATTGTTTTGTTTTGTTCAACTCTAAAGTTGAGCACTTTTGCCCAGACTCAGCATTGCAGCCATTTTTGTATTGCAGTTTCTGTTTATGCATTGCAGTTTCCGTTTCTTCATTGCAGTTTCTGCTTCTGCATTGTAGTTTCCATTTCTACATCGCAGTTTCTATTTTAGTACTTTCATCTTGGTTACTCCATTTTGCTTATAATAAAATTAATTTTTGTTTTTCTTGCTGTTTTTGTTTTCCTTTTTTCTTTTTTTCTTTTTTTCTTTTTACATAATTGATATCTACATTGTATTTTTGTTGCAGTTTCTGCTTTTATTTGCAATTTTTGTGTAAATATGTGGTGAAATGATTTTTTTTTAAAAAAAAATCATTGATTGTTTATATTAATATTGTATAACTGAATAAATATTACAAAATCAAGTTTGGTGTAGTGGTTTGTGAGTGAGCCCTCCTCCTTTGAGGGTCAAGGTTTGAGTCTGTTCAATGACACAAAATCTTTTCCTTTAAAGGAGAATAAAGGGCAACGAAGTTGGTCCCCTGCAGACAGTGGCAGGCCAATAATGGGCAGTGGGAGAGGGTGTCTGGTGGCTGCTGGCCGGAGGTAGCAGTTGGTTGGATGTGGACATGTGGCATAATATGCTTGCCTTGGAAATAATGTTGCTGAGAAGCCACAAGATGGGGGCAAGGCAGTGGAAGACTAGGTGAAGAAACTTAAAGACATAGCTGATGAGGCTGATGATGTCTTGGAAGAAATCAACTATGAATTTCTCCGGAGACGAGTAGAACTACATAACCATATGGGAAAAAACTTGTTTCGACTAAAAATGGCAAATAGAATTAGAAAAATCAGCGCTTCTCTGGCAGAGCTCAAGAGCGAAGCATCTTACATCGGATTAATTGCACAAAAAAAAAGAAAGATGCAATCTGTGTATCAAACACTTTCGACGTCAATTCAATTTTAACTGCGATGTTAGAATTACTCTCAAGAAATGTACGGACACGTCAGCAAGCATTGATTACAAACCTCCGAGAAGAGTTGTCGGGAAAAAGGTATTTTCTTGTACTTGATGATGTTTGGGAGTTTGAGAAATGGGAAAGTTTGATGAGTTGTTTGTCAAAATTGAATTCTGCTCCAGGAAGCAAAATTATTGTCACTACCCGCAGTGGCAAAGTTGCATCACTCACAGAAACACTTCCGCCACTATGCCAAATTTCACTTTACACAACACCACGTAGGCATAAGTGAAACGAAATACCGATGTTGTTAGTATAGTAGGCATCGGTTTTATAAATAATATGACTAAAAGTATATAAAGGCATCAACACAAATATTTAGTTTTTCCTAAAGATGCCATTGATTATATTTAGCATCGATGATTGAAATATACCGATGCGTAAAATTGTTGGGCAAAAAATAAATGGAAAATGCTAGAGGCACCAACTCTCTAATAGAGCGTGGGCCTCGGTGTATTGGCGGACCCCACCTCTATTAGAGAGTTGGTGCCCAAAATTAGTACCTCTAGCACCACTCAAAATAAGTTGGTGCCTAAGTTGGTGCCCAAAGTTGGTGCCTCTAGCACCACCCAAAATAAATTTAAGCTCCGATGCCCAAAGCCTATAGTTGACCGCTACAGTGTTTTTTCCCCAAAAAAATTGGGAAATATGCTGGTATAATCACAACTCAGAAACAGTGTGCTGAAATAATCAGCCTACAAATTGTATTCTAAT